CTCCTCCTCCTCCTCCTCCTCCTCCTCTGCCGCCGCCGCCGCCGTATCATGCTGTAGCTATCAATACCTTCTTTCAACTCCATTTCAGTTCAATCTAGTGGATTAATTATACCAGATGCTGGTATTATAACTGAACCCTGCATAATCAGCTTTCTTGTATAGGTGTTTGGCAAGTGTGACAAATACTGGAAATCTCTTTAGACAGAATACAAACATACCTAATATATGATGCTCAGGGAATGTGTTTCCATGACAACAGGACCTTTAGGATTTTAGACAAATAAAGGGATACAAAGGTACTTAAAATGTTTCTTCCCTACAGTACAGGCAATAAGCATACCTCTGATTTTATACCTGCCCACAGAGCTCATTTTTAGAATTCAAGAAAATGTACTTAGTAATGAGTTGTCTTAAGCATTATGCACTTTCTAAGACAAAAGTAAATTTCTTTTTTTCTCCCTCTTTGGGGGAGGAGGTAAAGGTAGACATTTTCAGTTTCATCTTATCAAGAATGGGAAGACCTCTCTTTTAAAAACCAATTTAATTTCTCTATAAACAATGTGAAACATACGTCTTTAGGACAAAACGTCTTCAGAACAATCATAATGGGGGCACATTTAAAGAGAGGGAATATTTTTGACTCCTGACTCTCACAGAACCCTTCCTTTTGTTACTATCCAACCAGGCTGCATTCCTGCTGCAGCACAAGGAACCTTTAAAATGATTCGTTTGCTGTGTCTGTACAGTGTTGAACTTCTAGGGCCATGATGATTTAATTCCTGGTCAAAATTCTGTCTGTGATTAAGATAATAGTAGTTGCCATTACTGAACAAATGCTTTTACATTTATGATCTTGAATCCTCAAATACCCTTGCAAGGCAGGGTTAGTATTCCATCCACACATGGAAAGAGAATTGCTCAAGATCACAGAGGGTATCTGAGCTAAGCGGTGCCTTTCCAATGCCCTTGGAGTGAAAACTGCCACGTTGAAGGGGGTACAATAGAAATAGTCTCAAGCACCAGAGAAAGCACTGGACAACAACCCTGCCTTCAGTTTCTTGATTTAGCTCCTGTACTAATTCCCTGGTTACCAAACTCAGCTCTGTCTCTAGGTTATTGCTTTCAAAAGCCTCCCAGTGTCCTCATGAGAACAGCCCTCACAAGTCCCTACCACGGCCCGACTTTGCTGCCTGTGGTCACTGACCTTTAGTACGGCATGGTCTCTCATGCATACCTGTAAGTCAGTATGCTCCTGGTTTGGACACCTGCCCACACTGTACATGGAAGAGGCAGCGCTCCATTCTAATATCCTATTTGACTTTTGCAGGGAATTCACTTTCATTTATGACTGGCAAGTTCTGAACGTTAATATTATTTTGGATGATGAAGAGATAGATAAATCATCCAAGAATCAAAATCTTTTTATTTTAATCGGTTGATATAACTGTGGCCCCAACTCAAAAAAAAAAAAATAGGTTCTGGATACAAGTTTCCCATGGCACTACCTCCACCCCTCACCCCAGATACATACACATTTTACGCCTCTGTGAACAACAACCAAAGATACTTTTCTCCTGGAGCAGAGGAAGTGGATTTGGAGAAACAAGAATGAGATTGGAGGTTATTGTGTCAAGAGGGGACCTTCCTGTGTTAGAAAAGAAGTTAGTGACGAACTTTGGAGAAGCTGAGCAGTATGGTAGAGACAGAGGGGGATTTTCTAGCAGGATGCTCACTGTTTGTCTCTTGGCTGGGCATGGAGCACCATTAGTTCAGGGGCAAGAGAGGGAGAGGGGGATACTGGAGCCCTGAGGCCTTGGAGGGTAATGGGAGTGGGGCTGGACTTCAGAGCCCCAGAGTGGATGTCCCCTGGCCTCTGGGGCAGCAGCAGGTAGCATCCTAGAGCATGAAAGACTGTCATAGGCCACCTACCTACATCACTACTCACACACACAGAGGCCCGGGCCAAGCATTTTCCTCTGTTTTATCTTTCATCTTAATACACCACCACAACTAATAAAACATAGGTAACACGGGTGGAGACTTGACTCTGCACCAGATACTTTTTGAAGTGCTTTGTGTGGATGAGTTCATTTCCACCATTTGTGGTTGACAAAAACTATCACCCCCCGCCCTAGCTGGTTTGGCTCAGTGGATAGAGCATTGGCCTGCAGACTGAAGGGTCCCAGGTTTGATTCCAGCCAAGGGCACATGCCTGAGTTGCGGGCTCGATCCCCAGTAGGGGATGTGCTGGAGGCAGCCGATCAATGATTCTCTCTCATCATTGATGTTTCTTTCTCTCTCTCTCTCTCTCCCCCACCCCTCCCTCTCTCTTTCCTTTCCCCTCTGAAATCAATAAAGAAATATTTTAAAAAAATTAAAAACAAAAAACTATCACCCCCATTTTCCAGGTAAAGAATATAAAGGCTCAGTAAATTGCCCATGGCCATATAACTAGTACACATGATGCAAATTACACACAAGTATATATGCCCATGAAACTCTTTTCTCCATGTCCTAAATATCTAAAATTTGGGCTGCTTTTGGAAACTAGTCTCACTTTTGGCTGAGTAGCCTTATATATAATCTCAAGCCAGGCTTTATGTTGAGCTCAAGTGCTTCTTGTGATCCACATGGAGTCTTGAGTGGCATTCAAGGCTCTCCATGGTGAGCTTCCCTTTCCATCCTTGCCTCCTTTCTTAAGTTCTGACCAAAGCAAACTTTGTTCATGCTTCCAGGATATTTTTGTCCTTCTAGCCTCTTTGTTCCTTTGGCCCTGGCCTCCTTTCTTCACATGTTAAAATACGACTCATTTTTCAAGTCCCAACTCATTTAGCTAGTGTTTATTGAGTGTCCAATATGAGCAAGGTGTACAGGCCTTCTGTTAGGCCTTCTCCAGTTTACTTTGTCAATAGTAATCCTAAGATGGTGGTTGTAATGATAATGTAATACTACCAATAACCGTAACAACAGTAGCCAACACATGTAGTATTTGCTATGTGTTAGGACTGTTTTGTGCTTTATATACATTCACTTCTTTAATATTGTTTTATGTTCTATTTATTCAAGAACATATCTTATTTTATGTTCTATTTATTTAAGAACATATCTTGACATATCTTGGTTTTCTGATGAGATTAAAACTTTTGGAGTCTGTGGATCCCAGTTCTTGTTCCTTTTTATTTTTATTTTTTAATACATTTTTATTGATTTCAGAGAGGAAGGGAGAGGGAGAAAGAGATAGAAACATCATTGATGAGAGAGAATCATTGATCAGCTGCCTCCTGCACACCCCCCACTGGGGATCAAACCCGCAACCCAGGCATATGCCCTTGACTGGAATCAAACCCATGACCCTTCAGTCTACAGGCCGACACTCTATCCACTGAGCCAAGCCGGCTAGGGCATTCCTTTTTATTTTTGATAAATAGCTATACGTATGGTAGGTATCTATTTATCTATCTATTTGACAATTACTTGGTCTGAAAGAAATAAAGAGCTTATGAGTGGAATTTTATATATACACATGTGCATATATACTCATATCCTACTTCCATCCCATCATACAGATTTCCAGTGTTCTAGAAAAATCAAAAGAGCTGACAATTCAGGGCCTGCATTCCTAATATTTTGTTAGAACTAACCTATCTCTGTGGTTTTAGTTGGGGCATGTGTTCTCAGGTTTTCCACAGTCCCTCTACTCTATAATGCTTTGCACCAGGCTCTGTAGTAGCTGATTCTGGATACTTGTAAAGCCAAAGGCAATTTTAGATTCTAGCTGCAGGTTGGGCCTGCCAGGGTAAGAATATCTGTAGCCATCATGCAATGTAGCCACTCAGGCTGTCTGAGCAGCTGTTTTCTGTTATTGTTCCATTGGCAAGATGCTTGTTTCATCCAGAAAGAGGGCTCATTTTTTTGTGGTACTAGTACAGTAAGGGCGGTGCTGTGTTTGGGTGATTCAAAGAGTCGTTTGAAGATCTGATGCTGTGACACATACCAGGGAACTTTAACAACCGTCCCATCACATGTCCTCAGCACAAGATGGAAAAACACCATGATGATTCCTGACAGTAATGAAGCTTTTATAGAATTCTGTGGAGGAGGAGTTGATTTATAAAGCTCTTCTCAACAAGTCTTCATGGGGGGGTAGAAACACAGCAACCCTCAAAGGCAAACTGATGTCTTTTTGATACTTCACAATGAGTCACTGAAGATGTTGCTGTTTTTCCTTGACATTCACAGCATCAGATATGTATTCCCTACTTGTTTGTGCTCCCCTCTTACCCCACATCTACTTAGACAACAAATGTGTGATGAATGTTCTTATTCATCAAATATATTTTGTACCTATAGGTATCAAGCCTTGTCCTAGATGCTCTGGATGTAGCAATGAATAAGGAGGACAGGATCTAGTGTACAGATATACTATAGTGATAAATGCTATAAAGGGAATAAGTATGGAGATGTGATGGAATAACTGGATCAGGGGATATGGCTACTTTAGAGAGGGTGTACATGGAAGGCCTGAAGGTGGCCACCTGGAGGTTGAGATGGCGTTTCCCTGGCAGAGGGTAAGTACAAATGGGATGGGAATGACATGAGGAGGAACTTGGCATTTTTGAGGAACAGAAAGGAAGCTAGAACTGTGCTGTGGAGAGTACCAATCTGTGAAGAGATAAGGAACTTGCACCACTGTAAATCTGTGCACCATTTCCTTCTCAAGAAAGCCTTAGTATATTTTAGAAAAAGTCAACTGAACTAAAGGATATGCTTAGTAGCATAGTTGGTTTACATTCTGGATCAGGTTTTTTTTTTTTGTTGTTGTTGTTGTTTTTAAAATCTCATTGAAGATAGGCACCAAAATTTTCTCAGACTAAGGTAAGTCCATGGACTATACTTTATCACTGGTCTGGAAGGTAGTGAGAGAAAAGGATAAGATTACATGATGTGGTTATAGAGGTAGGTAGGAGCCACATCAAGTTTAGATGCACAAGTGAAGATCAACTCTTCACTAAAATGCTATAAAATATAAGTAAAGCCAAGTAACCCCTTCAGACCCTTAATACGAGTTTTAGCATTTGAAATAGTACAGAGAGAACAACCAAACTGCACTGAGGTGGGGACCTTAGGTCGGCCATTAGACTGGCGCAGGAATCAAGTTATTTGCTTATGCACATCAGCTTCATAGTAGATAATTAAAAATCACACCTCAGTAAATCTGTATGGTATGATCCAGGTACGTGTTCATTCTGCAGATGCCAAGAGCTAGAGGTTGAAGACTGGTGGTCCACAGGCATGTTTGTTTGACTCACAATATTATTGTGGAGGGATAAAATACCAACATTTTAAAAATGAGAAAATCTAGCAGAGCTAGTTTTTAGAAGGCAGACTCTTTAGGAGGGGAATGTGCTTACACAAATGCCCACCGCCCTTTAATGTTTTCTGCCTGGTTTGAATATTACTCATGGGTTATGCTATAATAACCAATGACAGAACAATCTCAGTGGTTTACTAGAAAGGTTTATTTCCTGCTCACATTGCATGTCCACTGCGGGTTGACTGTGGCTCTGCTCCATGTCACCTTTACTCCAGCACCGGGCCAGGGAGCAGTCTGTGTGGAGCATTGCTAGGGTTGAAGGAGGAGGAAAGGGAGCATGAAGAAAAATGCACTAGCTCTTAGAGCAGCGGTTCTCAACCTGTGGGTCGCAACCCCTTTGGGGGTCGAAAGACCCTTTCACAGGGGTCGCCTAAGACCATCGGACAGCACATATATAATTACATATTGTTTTTGTGATTAGTCACTATGCTTTAATTATGTTCAATTTGTAACAATGAAAATACATCCTGCATATCAGATATTTACATTATGATTCATAACAGTAGCAAAATTACAGTTATGAAGTAGCAACAAAAATAATTTTATGGTTGGGGGTCACCACAACATGAGGAACTGTATTAAAGGGTCGCAGCATTAGGAAGGTTGAGAACCACTGTCTTAGAGGATCTGCTTTACTTTCATTGGCCAAAGCAAGTGGTATAGCTAAGGTGATGTCAATGGGATGGGAAACTATAATCTACCATCAGGGAGAGGCAGCCAATAATTTATATACAATGCAGTCTACCACAGCCCTTTTGTCTAATTTAGATGACCTAGCTAGTCTCCACAGACATTTGAGAGAATGACTACTTTAGCCTAGGGAACTTGAGAGTTCAAAGTTTTATTATAGTTAAAAACATGAGAATCACTCTAAAGCTTACTGTACTACAGTTGTCCCCACTATATCCATCTATCCATGTAAGCATCTGTCTATATGTCTATCTCTCTATCAGCCTTGAATGGGTTAAGGTTTTTGCAGGCTTTTCCTTAGATACCCTTTACTTTTTTTAGGCGCTACCGAAGTAAGGCACATTGACATGATGGCAGGTTAGCAAGCCAGGCTCTCATGAGGCAGCTCTAGCTCTGCTCCTTTCTGCACTTGAGCACTGCTGTCCATGGGTAGGTTGTGCGCCCAAACTGAGCCATCAGTGTGTCCTACAGCATAGCTGGAGTCTGGTAAAACTTAACCATAGAGAACAAGTAAATGGTTAGCATGTGAAGCTGAATGTTGATTACACTCTCTGTGCACCCAGCTCTCTTCTTGGGACTGTGGAAAGCACAAGATAGCCAGAGTTACCATTAAGGATGTGGATTTGATTGCTGAATCATGGGGCACTCACTTAGTTTGCATGAGTTGCCAGTGTGGGTTGGTGTCAGTAGGATGGACTCTGTGAAGAGGTCAGAATTGTGAAGGACTGGATATAAAGTAAAGAACATTGTGTATGAGTTCAAAGTTTCAACTGGTTCCATCTAAATCAGGAGTTTTTGGAAGCGAGATGGGCTTGCAGAGTTGTTTATATACCTTTGAAATGTTTCAGAAGTTTTCTACCAAAATTGATGTTTTTGTCAGGCCTTGAGTCTCACTTAATTGTGAACGTGCAATGGCTCCACTCAGCAGAGCTGGCTTTTTCCTTTCCCAGGAGCTTTCAACTTCACACAGAGGCTGTTTGTCTTCTTCTCACTTGAAAGATAGTGGGCAGGAAACAGATGTATTCTGTACCTGGGAGAGCATCTGAAAAGTGGCAGGCATTCAACACATGTTGAATGAGATGGGTAGATGGATGGGTTTGATAAAACCACATGATCTACCCTTCTCTTCTCACTCCCTTCTTTATTCCATATTCTGCTTGGCACTGAGGATAAAAAATAAGGTAGATGTTTTGCTTGCCATAAAAATAACTCAAGCACGAACTCAACTTTTTGCTGCCTTCTCCTTCTCTCAATCCAATCAAACAGAGACTGGGAATAGAAATGAATAAAGTAGATTGTGTTTTGGAGGCAAGAGAAAAAGGAGGGACAATGTGAACAAGAAAACACATGCTTGTCGAAACATGGCAGGTGCATTTTTGCTCCAAGTAGTTGTTATAAGGGATCTCAGAAACAACATTGTCACTTCCTTAGATTTTAAAGAGAATTCAGATTTCATTTTTTTAAAATCTAAAATCTCCTGATTAAAAAAAACGTTGGCCATCTTTTTTCAAATTCTGTTTGGTCTAAACAAAACACCTCTGCAGGCAGTATGCATCCCAGGGATTCCTAGGATGTAATTTCTGTACCTTCTTGTCTTTAACCAACCCAGAAAACACTGGCAACACTGAGGTGGGATTGTTGAGGTAGGCAGTTTTAAAAACTTTGGATACCATGTCTGAAAGAGAGGAGACGAATCTGACTCATTCATAGAGATTAGGGATCATGGCAAGGTCTCTACACTCTTGCCTAGTTTCTCCATGGCCAGTCAGTGATGATGCCCATCACTATGGGAACGATGCCTGACTCAGCAGCATCACTGGTGTGCTGTTTGCTGGTGTGGTATTGGCTATCCATGCCCAATTATTTAAGACTTTGTGGCTAATCAGGGATTGTGCACCTGGAAAGGGCTAGTGGAGGATGGTGGCACAAGTTAGTTCTCAGTGAATGAAGTTATTAGACTCAAAAGCTGTGCTTTCCTCTAATTTCCAACCTGCTTGAGCCTGTAAAGAAAATGGTGCGCAAGACGGTGCACAGAGTAACATTTCCCATTTACTGTTCTTTGCCCTATGATGTTTGACTCATTCAGGTACTCAAATACTTACTGAGCACCTACTGTGGATGCAGCAGAACAAAGTCCCTGCTCTCAGGGAGCACAGTCTAGTCTGAGGACCTGGTAGTGTGCCTCAGATGCAGGAAGCCTGTAAGTCCTCATTCCTTCCCAGCTCTCAGAATTATGCCATTGCTTGAGTTAGATTTCAGAAGAGAAGTGGATGATGTTGAGGGAAAGTTGGCAGGGAGCTCACTTATTTTTCTGGGATACGGACAGGGCGTTTTAAGGTAGTCCTGGAGAAAAAGACCTGACAGTTCCCTTCTTGTTTCTGGTGTACCATTCATGGCCTAGTGCTTCATCCCACCGCCTTTATAATCCTCTCAGCATGTTCAGCTCTGCTTTGCTTTGGAACTCCTTTGAGGAATTAGGAGTCTCAGGATGTCCTGTTGGAAATGCAACCCTTGGGGTATTTATTCCTTAATGCAGAAAGCACCAAGGAATGAAGGGTAAAATTTCTTCACTGCAGGATCACCTAGTAGTGCATTTTACTCGTGGCTGTCGGTCATTGAGTGTGGCAGATATAATGGTAAATTTCATTTTAGTCTATTTTGAATGGTCTGCATTTAATTGTTAAAGAACCAAAGGCTATAGGACCTACTACTAAGGATGTTAGTCAGAGTCCATTCTGTTATTCATTTATTTTGTATTGGTGCATGCTTAGCTAGGTAACCACGTAAATTAATTATGCCACTGTTCTTTCTTTTCTTTCTTTCTTTCTTTCTTTCTTTCTTTCTTTCTTTCTTTCTTTCTTTCTTTCTTCTTTCTTCTTCCTTCTTTCCTTCCTTCCTTCCTTCCTTCCTTCCTTCCTTCCTTCCTTCCTTCCTTCCTTCCTTCCTTTCCTTCCTTCTTTTTTTTTTTTTTTTTTTTTGGTCTCTGTTACCAAAAGAACTCTTGGAAAGTCTGGTTCAAATCTCAATGTTAGACATGTTTATTTCTGGACTATTTGATCATAAATTCATGAGCAAGGAGCAGTGCCATATGACTAGGAAATTACACACCTTTTAAAATGCCAGAATCAAGAACACCAAGACTCACTCAGGAAGTTAGCTTTTGGATCAGTGGCTTCTTCAGAGAATTATCACCTCGGCAAATTATATTTCTGAGCTTCTCACATATCCCTGCTGTGACCTGATGCTTATAAAAGCAAGCAAACAACTTTTTTTATTTGCCTTGGAGAAAAACCTGTCTTGATGGAACCCAGGAGAATACCAAATGAACATGTTGGAATACCAGGACACTGTGGTAGTATTTATTAATAGAGGAAAGAAGCCTGCTGCTTATATGTTCAGTGAAGTAGGTCCCTCTTAGGAATGGTAGAATAACCCTGCACAGTATATTGCCATAACTTGGCAATTTAATAGTGATAATACATTTTAATTGAACAAACTCAGGAATTTGGTAAGAATATAAAATTGAAAACCAGCAAATATCAGGAATCTTATCATCAAATTTTTTTTCCTCAAGTGAGGAAAAAGCTTAAATTTTATAAGCCAGCAGGTCAAAGACAGTATTAGGAATATATAACATATGCTCCCAATTCAATCCATGCATACACATATACATATACACAGATGCAAATAAAATCTTGATCATCCTATTTTTGCTACTTCTCTGATTAAATTTATGAACTTTTGCTTGACCTTAAGTTTAGCTCATCAGATAGTCCTGAAGTCAGGTTTTCAGGTATATACAAATAACACGCATTTAATACCCAGACAAGCACACTTCAAGCTTCTAGTTCAGAATAAACACCTTTCTGTCAAGGATTGTGCCTCCACAATTCGTAACTCTTATATGGGAAGTTAGGACACATGGATTCTGATCGTTTAACAGAGAGGCTTTTGGGGCAAGTTTCTTTTAAAAACCTTTCCGCCTGGGTAGGTTGGGGTGGGGGGAATGTCATAGGATAATTTTGCTGCAGTGGGAGGGGCACATTCCATATTTGTCTCTCCTCCGTCCCACTGTTCTCTAAAAAATCAATGAAAAAATATCCTCTGGTGAGGATCAAAAAAATAAACAAATAAAAATAATGAGACAGACTGTGGTGCCTGGAGACCATACACCTGGCTGGAGAGGGCAACATGGCCCCAGAAGGTGCCTCTGGCAGTGAGGCCAAATCTTTTCAAGAGAAGTTAGAAATCTGGTTACTGTGCAAAATTTCCTAACTTCTAAGCACTGACAATGAATGTCAATGGAAAAAACAAACAATTGCTTTATGGGCTAAAACAGCGGCAAGTGGAGTGGTTCATTCTGGACATGCCAGTTCTAATAGCTCCAACTTCCCACTTTTGAGGGGTGGTGGTGGGACAGCCCAACCCAGATGTGGGCAAAGATCAATTGTCATTGATCTTTAATTCATGGCTCCTCTATGAAATGCTCCACATTTTTGTAGATTGGGAGTTTGCAGGGCGGAACGGAATGTTAGGGGGACTATCTCCTTAGTGACCGCAGAGGCAGAGGCACCAGGAGGACTGGTGAGGAGGATCGGTGCTGCCAAATGATCAGGAGCTAGGCAATGATCTTCTGCCAGAGAACACAAGGACGCGGTAGAGCACAGACAGGTGAAGAGTTTAACACAATTTATTTTATGCTTAAATAATCGACTAGGTCATCCAGTGTATGGTTTTTCATACATATGTCATTAGAGCTATGTGTCCATGAATGCTGATTTCATATGAATATAATCAACAAATTAAAGAATTTCACCAAAACCCAAATAAAAATGCCCTTTAAAACACTGCAGCCTTATTAACCTAGTATGACACTGCTAGAATGGTTACAAATGATTGGCTTACTGAAAGGTGTCTACATCTTATAGCCAGTACACGATACAGTGAGAATTTTACAGCGTGCTGCCATTCTACTAGCTAAGGACTTCTGTTCAGTCCATTTTAAACACCCCTGACTGGGGCCTCTTATGAGCACCATCCACCTCTAAAGCGGCAAGCATTACCCCCCTTTTAAGCACTAACAGAGAGCACCCCCTCCCCCTAAAGCAACTACTGTATAGGTGTTTTTTTTTTTCTTCCATTTTTAGGTCATTTAATTGGAAAATTGGCAATAGCAACAAATATTAGATGAAGGGCTTTTTGTTTACAGATAAAATCTTCTGTGTTGCAGTATACGGTAGTGTTTGCAAAATTGGAAAAGATTTAATCAAAATAAGGTGATACACATGCATCAAAATATTAGTATTCTGAAGAAAATTTTTTTTTTCACAGAACTACAGAATTCCTCATTTTGGGAATTATTTAAATTTGCAGCAGATTTTAAAGATTTGCTTTTTTAAAATCAAGCTAGCAGTTTTGCATATACAAACATTATAATTGCTAATATACAAGAATCAGTAAAGGTCCCCCCCCCACCCAGAACCCCTCCCTCCTCTTCTAGGGTGAAGTCCCTTGAGACCTCTATGATGTTAAATGCATTTGCAATATTCTGTTTGTGTTCTAAGAGGCAGTGCCTTATCAACATTTATTCTATTTTTCTGTTAGAATTTATACACTGTTATTATTTACAGCAAAACTATAGATGTCTTAAAAAAGAAACAAATAGTGTTTATACCCTGACAGTTTGGGTCCAAGAAAAATAAGGCGAGCTGTTGTGGATTTAGTAATTTTAGTGTTTCTCTGATTTCATCAGTCCATCTCCTTCTGTTCCTTCTGGAGGCAGGAATTTCTTCCTTTTGTAAATGACACCAAGTTACTTGAGATAAACTGTTAACGGCATGGCTTCTTGTATATACACTGCATTGCTAATTGCACACGTGCCAATCCTGGGAATGAAAGTGAATTTCCATGCTCTGTAAGTTGGCTCATGCTAAATTAAAATGTGGGTGGTTTCCTTTTTCTCTTTTCTTTTTGTGTAAAAAAAAAAAAGTCATGCCATTCATGTGTGGAAGCAGCAAACACACACACACCCTTCTCCTCGAATCTTTACTTCCTGCTGACATGTCTTCCATGAATTTCTCAATACTGGCAGTAAAAACACATGATCCTGTGGAAAGACAGACAGTAAGTAGTGAGGTTAGCTTGCTTTCTTTTTTTTAAAAAAATAGAGAACTTGTCTAAGCCTTCCTTGCCATTCAACATAAAAGGATCAGAGAATGGGGGTCCTGGGCCTCCTAATGGGGCGGGTTAGCATGAAACTTTGGACTCAGGCTATCTGCCTGAGAGGACAAGGCCCTGAGGTGTGCCGGAAAGCTCTTTGAAGGCAATGACCTCCCCTTGCTGATCCCGTGACCTCATGCAACTTTGTTTGCTCTATTTGTGGTTTTAGAGATTGAGTCAGAAGGACTCTCTTCTAGGTCTGTCTTTGATGCCCGGGTCATTCACTCAGGCCCTTGGGGAAGCCCTGGGGGGCCTCTGGTTTATCTGCTCTCTGAGATTTCCACCAACAGCAAATTAGCAGGGGCATGGGGTTTTCATGGGCACAAAGGCAACCAGTCTTTCAAAAAGGGAGGACAGTGTTATTGCTTCATTACTAGAAAATTGTTTTTCCATATGCACATTAAAATGGAAGACTATCTTCAGCCATTGGAAAGAATACTTTCCCCTTTCCTGCCCCACATCAGTCGTGACAAGATAAATTAATTTTGAGGTTTTTTTTTTTTTTAGGCTCCACTAAGATTCTCTTGTCTTACTCGATAATACCTGCATAAAGTATCTGTTTTGTAGCCACTCTTAATATGTCAAAATAAATCAACATTCTTTGGCAAAGGTTTTCATACTTTGGTGCAGTATGTATTGTTCTTGGTATGAACTTTTTCTCCATAAAATAAAATTATTCCCACATCTAGTCCTTTGTCAGTGTGAAGGTGACAAACTTGAATGCCTGCCCAAGAACAAGACACAGCCCCTACAGAAAACTGAGAAAGGCTGGCACAACCCTGCTCACCAACATGTAAGCAGGTCTAGGATAACCTTTAGGATTATTTCTGTTGAGGCCCAAAAGTCTTCCCAGTGACCTTGATGTTGTTTACTTATCCTGGACAAGTTTCTTCCCCTTTAGATGGGTCACCCGGGATACCTTGGCTTATGTAAACATATTGGTACAGCACTTCCTTTGTCTGCTCTACTGCGGTTCAGGCTTCCATTTTTGTATTAAAAGTGCTACCGACCTCCATGCCCCAGGTCATCAATGCTGAGAGCCAAGAACATCAAAGTATCAATTCCTTCTGGGGTGATTTCAACACCCGCCCCCTCCCATGGCTCTGCAGAAGCTCCAGGGAAGGAAAGTGACTCATTTGGACAGGCTCCATCCCAGAAGGTGTGTAAATCAGAGTAAGAAGATCAGGATTTTCTCACGTCTGTTTTTATATTATTCCTAATCTTCCAGGCACCAGGCTTCTTAGATGGTCCTATAATGTTACCCTAGTGCTATCATGCTGTTTTCTTAGGGAGAATTTTCAGCAATTTTCTCTAATCAAACCCCTCCCACAGACCCCAGCTTTTAACAGCTTAAAGGATACATAATTTACACACCATACAATTCACCTATTGTAAATATAGTTTTATAGTGTTTAGTAAATATATGTAGATGGGCAACTCAATTGAACTTTATTTATTTTTGCTTCATCTCTTCCAAAAACGAATCCAACTTCCAAGGATAAATCTGGCTGTAAGGTCTTTCTCTTTTATCACCCAATGCAAACGACCATTATCTCTCTAGAAATAGCGGATATGTTTCTATTATTTAAAAAGTGCTATTAATTATTCCCATTTGTATTCAGGTATGATTTGAGGGATAGTTTTTAAAAAAGTTGGGAATTAGTTCCCCTTATAAATCTCTCTTGTTCTCACACCAGAGTGTGTGGGCTCCAATCACACAGGGTGCAGGAAGGTCATCATTGGATAAAAGACTTTATGCCAAGTTGCACAAAAAGCATTAGAGCCTTGGCTGAGTGCCTCTTATAAAACATCAACATCCTGTATAAACTGTGATAAGAGCGACACCTGATGGAAAGTGTGAGAGGGCAGGAGCCATTAAGACAGCGGTTCTCAACCTGTGGGTTGCTAGTCCTTTCTCTCTTTCCTTCTTGTTGGATCCTGGGTTTTGTACTTTTAGCCCTTGAACAACATTTGTCCCATCTCATTCCTCCTTGCAAGATAAGAGTTCCAGAAGGACAGGCAGCATGGAGGTTTTCTTCATGATTACATATCTACCCTTTTCATTCTTCACCAAGTGAAAGGTCAAATATCTTTTTAAGGAATAAATATAATTAGTCAGCTTTTTGACTCAGATAAATTATGGCCCTGGCAAGCTTGGGCACTGTTGCCACTCTTGGCTTCCATATGGCTGTGAGATCCTGAGCATTTCCCCCAGAGGCTTGGAATACAGCTATCCTGCAGTTTTTACAGCTTCTTTCTAGGGACCTTCCCTTGCCACTGACTCACTAATCAGCCCTCTAATGGTAAATTTGAAGTAAATGTTTTATAGATTATGGCTACCTTAAAAATGAAAGTTTGCTTTACTTAAAAAACACCAAACTACCCTCCCCCCAAACAGTTTTTACTATGTAGAGTATGAAGAAATTTACTATAGGTTGCCTTTGTACAAACTTTGATTCAGAGTTTGCTTTTAGGTCTTTAAGCCATCGAATACTATTAAAATATTAATACAAGTAATAGTTAATAACTAGTTTCTGGATATGTTCAAATTTCATAGCTTTTGCTCATTAGCTGTAGGACCTTAGGTAAGTCTTAAATTTTAAAACTTCCGTTTCCTCATTTATAAAAAAGGAGGGTAGTAGTTACCCTATAGTATTGCTTTGCGGAGTATATGAATGGGGGGTATATAATAACCTTACCTAGTACTTGTCATACAGTAATCATTTGATAGAATGACTATTATTCATAAATAATTTTAGAAAGTCAGGTTGGTGTAACAGAAAGGGCACAGCTAGGCAAGCGTATCAGTCGTGAGCTGTGTGACAGCAGAAACGCCACCTGACATCTCTGAGCCTCGGTATCTTCATCTCTAAAAGGAAGTAAACAAAACTGGTCTGACCTGCTTCAAGGCTTGTTTGAAGGACTACACAAGAAGAAAATGGAAAAGCACTACAAATCACTCTATACTACTTGCCACTTAAAAAGCACTATAAACTATAAATCACTATATACTACATACAAATCTTTTTTTTATATATATATATTTTATTGATTTTTTACAGAGAGGAAGGGAGAGAGACAGAGAGCTAGAAACATCGATGAGAGAGAAACATCAATCAGCCGCCTCCTGCACATCTCCCACTGGGGATGTGCCCGCAACCCAGGCACATGCCCCTGACCGGAATCGAACCTGGGACCCCTCAGTCCGCAGGCCGACGCTCCATCCACTGAGCCAAACCGGTTTCGGCTACATACAAATCTTTATAGTGATTTTAAGCCATTGGCTTTTCCCTTACATTAAAAGTAGGATGGTTGTGGCTCAGTATTGAAGAAAAGCAGGTGCAGGGTTCAGATAACTCAAAATTAAACTGGCTGTACAATGGGAAATAAAAATTTGATGTCACTGTCTGAGACTCAGTGAAATTTGAAAAGTATTCTGCTTGCTTAGTTCTGTATTTGTTTGTTTTGTTTTTTTAAAAGGCAGCTAGCAGGGCTATAAAATTTCTTAATCTATTTGCAGATTGGTTTTTCCAAAGCACACGTTCAGTGTCCTGGAATTCTAGGCAGTATTCTTGGACTCATTTCCCAGGTTTACTACGGAAGGTAAATACCACCCTGGAGAGTAGACTGGGGCTTGCAGTCAAATTGCCATTCTTTCCATCTGACACACTGAGTTTGCTCTACCCTGAAGTTATTCCCATATTCATATGAATTCTCCTACTGAGTTTCTCTCTCCTTTGAGGGCTATAGCAAGTTAGCCCAGGCCCTGACAACTTCTTCACAATATGTATTATTTATAATTTTAAAGCCTCTCGTATATTTATTGAGCAAGTGGCTTCTCTGCTAATACTCTCTAAAGGGCCTTGGATGCATAGCACTGTCATATAGATTTGGTATCATTTATTCATGGATATTAGGTATTTGTTACTCTATAAAAATGGACCAGCTAGTGTAGGGTCATTCAAAGAACTTCTGGTTCTTTTTTTTAAAAAAAACACGTTTTTATTGATTTCAGAGAAGGGAAAGAGAGAGCGAAAGATGGAAACATCAATGATGAGAGAGAATCATTGATTGGCTGCCTCCTGCATGCCCCCCACTGGGGATCGAGCCCACAACCCGGGAATGTGCCCTTGACCGGAATCAAACCTGGGACCCTTCAGTCCACAGGCCGACACTCTATTCATTGAGCCAAACCAGCTAGGGCCACTTCTGGTTCTTTTCCATCTGGTGTCTGAGTCTATGACTGAATGAGATGTTAAACTTTAAGGGACACGCTATAAGGGTCATACTGAAGCTGACTGACCTAGTTTCCATTTTCACTTCACTTATCACTTACTGGTAGAATTGCTTAAATAGACCAATTCAAGACAGCAAACTGATGTTCGGTGTTTTAGTAATTTGCTACATAATGTCTTCATCAAGTTTAGCTGTATGACATGCATAATAGGTAGGTTCATTCTAGATATTGTTACACTGATGTCGTCCTTAATTATCCAATCTCTTACCCTTATCAGCCAATAAAAACCAAATCATGTTGCTATCTCTTGATTCATCCTACCTTTTACCATCCTCACTGCCCAAGCCAGGATCTACCATAGTCACTTCACAGGTTTTCTTGTCATCCATCATTGCCACTTCTGATTGACTCTCTGCCCTGCAGCTAGAGTGAGTGATGCAGAACACAACCTGCATCATAGCCCACCCTTGCCTAAGAACCTTCAATGGTTTCCCACTGTTTTTGGGGTAAAGACCAGAATCTTAACAAAGAAACACACAAGGCCTATTCGGATCTTTCCCACCTTTCCAGACACAATGGCAAACTCTTCTGCCACTTACAGTGACCCGTTCTCACAGTTTCTTTTTCCCTGTTTCCTCCTTGCCTCTGCAGAATGACATTGCTTGTGCCTACGCATAGCAAATTTCCCACCCCTCATCTGCTGAGTCCTGTTCAATTCTTTAAAACACAAACATCCCTTTCCCCAAGGAAAGCTTCCCTGTCACCTCAGATCCAGGTCAAGTTCCAGTTCACAGGTTTGACAGTGTGGGCTCATTCATTTAACTTAAACTTGGCAACCACTTGTTGGGTTTGTGTATCCTGTTTTTTGCCATTTTTTGTTTACGAGATATTGGGCAAAATTTTGGGCCTGTTTTCTCACCTGTTAAATGGGTTGGTTGTGAGAATTAAGAGCACAAGTGAAACACTTGGAAGAGTATGCAAAGTAAATATTATTCCAGAGCACCCTGCAGTTCTTAGTTATGATCGGTTCCCATTAAATATCTAAAGTGTAAGCTCAGGGAGAGCAAGCACCTTGTCAGGATTGTCTAGCGATGACTTCTCAGTGCCCCTGTGGAAAGCTTCACAGAGAGGAAGTGAAATAAGTATTTAAGTGAATAAATAAAAAACGATAAGGTGTTTTAGTGGAGGAAGAACTAAGAATTTATTTGGGCTTTAGTTATAGTTACCTCTCATAAAGAAAGCATTAGGGGCAATGATACTAGATATTTTCTCAGGGGTTCTGGGAATTGGGGAGCAGCAGAGGTATGACAGCTGAAACTGGAACCTGTTTGCTCTCTCTGTCACTTTGACCAGTGGCGCTAAGAGAACTGTTGGTGAATAGCCTTAAAGAAACCACCCTGCTTTACCTTTCAGACTTATGGGGACATTTTCAAAGCTATATTGCTTTTTCACCCCAAATTGCCTTTCTAATGGTAGCGATGTAGAAATAAATAGGATGAAGTCAAATTTAGGAAACAGCACTAAAGGAAAACACTCTTGTTTATGAAGAAAAGTTCAGACAACTTTAAACATTTTAACTTAAAAACAGAGCAGTGCCATTAATTAATTTCCTATTTAATTTGCTTTGGCTTACATAAAATATGAAATCATATAGATAGGGATTTCATTCATTTAATTTAAACTTAGCAACTACTATATTTTAACCAAAATTATATTCTCAGTGATGTTCCGCTAAAATGGGGAAAGGCTGGATCAATACAATTCTCACAGTGTATTTGTAAGAATTACTCGTTGCCAAATTATCTTCCTATTAGCTTGTATACTGCTCCTGCATTTGATACTCAGCCTTCGCTATTCAGGAAGACTCAAAAATCACTGTTTACACTTGCTTCTGCAAACATCATTTACATTGAAATTCCCGACTAATTCATGAGAAAGTTTCTGGATTGTGAACTAGAGTCAAGTTTAGTGTGTGTGTGTGAGCATACATAAAAAACTAACTATCACAACTTCATACTGCATATGCAAAGCTGGAACACAGTGAGAGGAAGGGGGCGCTCTCAATCACTTCCTGAGTGCCACAGGGAGTTAAGTGCTACTGTTGTTGATATGAGCGCACATAGCTGACTGACCTTTCACTGTTATGAGTGGCTCTTCTTCTCCACATGCCGGATTTCTTTCTTTGTCTTCACCTTATAACCTTCTCCCTGCTTTAAAAGGAATGCACACGTTAGGATTTCATGGCGAAGGAGTTTTAGTAATGAAGCAGTTCCAACTCTGGTTCCTTGAGGCTGGATTAGGATAAGTGAAACACAGTTTAAAGCACTTTGCCACTTCATGTCCAAAAATACAATCCACCGGCTTTCACCACACAGCTTAGCATCATCCAGGCAAGCTAGAGAGCACCACCAGAGTGAAGACAGCGCCACTGTACTTCACGGTACTTCAGGTTAGTGAGGAATCGAAAAAGGAGCAGCCTGTCCGTTTCCGGTCGGAAGCGAGAAGAAATCATCGCGGAAGCTCTCAAGGCACTCAAACCCCAAACATAAAATATATTAATTACAACTTACACATTTTTAAGCCAGCAGAATTTTAAGCTGTCATAATGAGACTGAAAGTTCTCAGCAAACCACTAATCACAACTAACACCATGGGAAAGCTGTGGCTCTAAGGGACTTTTTAAAATTATTAATTATTATTTGTGGAATTACCAACCCCTCCTCTCACTCCAGACCAGGCATTTTCCATAAAACAAGACCCTTCTTTACCACGCAGTGGGACACACTTCTCTGAGAGCAAAGTTTTTGTACAAATACTCAGCTTTTACCCTGTTTATAATTAATGGACAACACAGCAGCCTTTCCACAGATTTAGTCCTGAGAAATTCTCAGTTCACTTTTTCTTATGTAAACAGTTACTATTTTTAAAATGAAAAGGTTAAAGTTCTAAGAAAAGGAAGGAAGAAATAACTACCAGTGTTTTCTCTGGGAGATGGAGATCCATCTGCTGAGTTACAAGGCTCAGTAATGAGTTTAGTTCCTGAATTGGCACATTGGAAATGCAGAGGAGAATTTTTGGGTTAAGAATGGAGGAATTCAGATTTCTCCGTAGAACATACTGTACAGGGAAAATACATTTGATATATGGATCTTGAACTGAGCTTTTTGCCATTCTAACATTTAAATCCTGTGCATTTGCTGGAAACGAATGCTCTCCATCCGTGCCCGGACAGGCACTGGGCATGGGTGGGGCCCCGCCAATGGGTTTGGTGGTGGTAGAAGATTTTAATTTTTTCTAAGAATCTTGAACTGGCATGTTCTAACCTCCATAAATGAACATATCTCTGTGAACTCTCTGAAGATAGTAAGAGAATATAACGTTAAAGAATGTTAGGAAGAAAAGTCTTTTTCTTTGACCCTGATCAAATGCACAAGATATCAGGAGCAGCAAACGCTTCAAGCTGCCACACTGCCCACGCCAGCCTGTTAGCCGCGTACACGGGAGCGCTCACAAAGCTTTCATCCTCTACTTTCTCTGGGGCAGGCCCCCTCCTTTACCACGTCATGTTTCCTCTCTTGTGGGATAACCATTCGTCTTATCACTTTCCGAGTGATCTGTAGGAAGCAATAGTGAAAAGTAGAGATGTTTCCTGCTTTCTGTTTCAAGAGGGGACACTACAGCAAGCAAACAGAACATCTAAATTCCAAGAGAAGTATGAAATCCCAATGGTGATTACTTTTCTGGTGACGAGGTTGCCTTCTTCATCAGTAAAGTGTTCTTCCGTGACAGATTCACCAGGAATGTGTTTTGCTTCCTCTCCCTAGAGGATGTGGCATAGAGATTAGCGACATACCAGGTGGCGAGAACTCCCCACCACTCCATACACCACACACATGCGCTATGGAATGTTAGAAAAAGAAGGCATACGTTCTACTGGCTCTTCCAGGGTAGGGGGAAAAGGCTGACTCCACTGATAGTTATTTAGCAGTCAACAACATTCAAAGCACTAAACCTCAAGTATGTACAAGGATGATGATTAGCAACAAGCTCCAAGAAGGAAGAATTTAAAAATACATAAGTATAGAATGAACACATACACATTGCTTTACAAAGCAAAAGGTTTCATTGGTTGAAAAAAGTTTAGCCAATGATTAGGGCTTTAATTAGATCATCTCACTTTCAGTACAACCCATTTTTATGAATGACAGTATATCTAATGTGAATTAAGATAGTACCTTAATTGGGAAATTTATCACCCATTGTTAGTTTAACTTAAAATTTCATTTACTAAGAGCAATATATACATTTTTTGGAAGCACTGTGAGAAAGTTCAGCGAAAATCTTTTTTTTTTTAATACTGAACCTTTCATAGGTCTTAAAATAAATGAGAATAGCTGTCTGATAAAGTACTTGGTTTCAGAATACTACTATTTTCAAGTGGAGGTCCTATGTAATAACTGATTATCTAGTCTTCATTGCCACAGACCAAAAAAAAAAAAGTCAGTACGAAAGGAATTTAAAATAGTATCTTTCAGTTAGTGTCTGTTACCTGGTTTAGAAGGGGAAAACTGTCAAATGACCTTCCTCTAGTGAGTTTAAAAAAAATAAATTCTTCAATCTCCAAGATGGGCTCTTACTATCCTGCTCATAGGAAGCTTGGTAGATTTAGATGGCTCCTTAATATCTCTCTATTAGTTCTATGACTGCATCAGAAGAACAACCACTCAAAGCAAACATAGGACTGTATTTGCAATACATTATTTTTGGCACTGGTATTCACCTTTAGGTTAGCACCACTTCCAGTTTTGGGGAACAAGGACAAACATCTGAAGTGCAAACCTATTCTAGAGCCATACTGACCTCTTAAACTTTTTGTTGAAAAGGTGACCTGGATATTGCTACACTACAGTGTACTCTAGCTACTGTGCACTACTGCCTTCTTAGGAAAAGTAGCAGGTCACAAAGACTGCTGTATCTCTGGGAGAGCCAGGATTCCAGCCCTTTCAGTGGTACTGTCACGGAAGAGGTAGCTCTGATAATTTTGTCAGTGCCAGCCAATGGTGGGAGACTTGATGAGTGCTTTATGTTGTAACAGGTAGAAAGGCAGCTCTGGTTTTAAATGATGAAAAGCGTAAAGACGAAACACTATTGTGCTTTGCTAACAATATTCTGTTTTCATTCTTTTTACGAAGTGACTTTGTGTTCTTATAGATTGTGGGATCATAGGTCATGACAGCATGTGGGACATGCGACTCATCTTACCTCACTGTGGTCTAAAGGTGGGATGAAAAGAAAAGATGTTTCTTGCTACTCATATTTAGTTCACCTTGAATCTCGCTTACAATTAATTTTAATTAACACACTTAACAGAGAGAAGGAGATTGGAGAAATGTAGAGGACTCATGACTAAATGCACTAAAATCTGCAAGACATCTTTATGGGAGTGTTATTTATATTTAATATTGTTGGTGTCATTAAAAAAGCCATTTTATTTTAAAAGTAAAAGCATAAAGATAGTAGAAAAGGCCAATAAAAGGTCATGAAAGATGTCACTATAGTTTAAATATGAATAAATGGAATATTTTTGAGCTAACTTTTGGAAATGTCTAGTTCTTAGAGTGTTAGAGAATCCCAGGAAAATACAGTAAAACAGAATCCTATTGGACATATCATGAATGGACCCTTTTGTGGGGAAAGATGCCAATTCATTTTTAAACTGTTTGGACAGTCTCTGAAAGAAATGTGAAGTAGTTATATGTATTCACTACATGCTTATAAATATAAGTATACTGATTTATATTAAAAGTCTTAGAAGAAAGCAAAGCCCTACTTATAAGTAACAAACCATATAGGCTGTTGAGATCTACTCTGGTATGCAGGATTTTCATTGTTTCCTACTGAAAATTCATACTATTGATGTAAAATTAAAGGTATAGGTATATCTCTTAATCTTAAATGGCCATAAAGTATAGTCAATTATGCTTTAATAAGATCAGAATAAATTGAGTATGTAAAAACTCACTAAAGTAGATTAGATAAGATAGGAACGATAGTAAGGAGTCAAAAAAATACATTAAAAAATCATCCATTTAAAATGTTGTCAAATATATTGGAAATCAAGTGTTAGCAAGGAGAGGTCTTTGGGGCTTCTCCTTAATGAGAGAAAATAACCCCTAATTAGTTTCTAAAGTTCTTGGAAACAGTTTGTACTATTAAGTAAACAAAATTCCCCCCTCCCTTATTGATGGCATTATTTTTGGCAATACCCTCCCCTAGCACATACTGTTTCTTTTTCCTATTTCTAAGGAAAAATACAGTATCTATCTATCTCTCTCTCTCTCTATCTATATTATATATATGTCAGCCCTGGTGGCCATCTTACTGAAGACTAACTACTTTCCTTTAAAACCCTGCCAAAACATTTTATAATTTTTATTCCTCCTTGAATTTTTTGAATAAAATGAAAGAACAATTAACTATATATAATGTACCAATTTGCTTTGATGTACACAATATTACAACTTCAACTTTCCAAAAAATGGGGGTAGATATCATATATATGGCGCACACATAACTTGGCAAGTTACTAAGCAATATATACAGTATAACTCATTTTTATATTCTAAGAAACCCACTTGCAAAGGATGTTGTACATGTACATAAAAATCTAAAGCTAATGAACAGTAGCTACTGCTGGACAATGGAATGGGGAAATCAAACTTTATGTACTTTTGATTTGGGAAAAAACATACATGTAAACTCAATCTGAAAATCGGTAAAAAAATTTTCAAAAGTAGACATGAAAATACAGTTGAACTATGTAGTGAAATTTCAGTTATTTGAATCTTCCTAAACTTTACAATAGTTGGGCTGTGAGTTAGTTTAAACCTTTTACCTTTCTAATCACTGAATTTTAAGCAAATAATGTAAAACAAGCTTATAGGACTGATTAATTTACTTAAATTGCTTTCAAGCATTTGAAACCATTGTGATATTGTCAGATTACATAGAAATAAATATGTTTATAAAATTTAAAAGATCCCCAAATAAATGAGAGTTTAATTTGACTCATTCCTTAGCAACTTAAAAATGTTAAATTTAAATTATAAAATTATACTTTCAACCCACTTATTATACAAGTTGAACTGCTAAGAACCCAAATTTGCCTAGACTTCTGGTAATGGAATCCTGAGCACACCATTGACACTTAAGTGGCAAACAATCGAAATAGGCTGACTTAGTCCCAGGTGGATAGCCTCCATGAAATAGGTCAAATTCCTAGCATTCCAGCTCCACAGTTTTCAGGAAAGATAGTCAAATGCTGCCCTCTTCCATGCCACTAGAAAGGCCTAATTTAGTCTAGGAAAAGTTATTTTTTATTTGTTCTGGAAGAGAAAGAATATAGTATTGTGGTAGGAGAAGCTTCACTGGAGGGCTAGAGATTAGGTTCTGGTCCCAGAACTGCTTCTGCCCTGCTGTGATTCTGTATAAATCAACTGGTCTCCAATCCTGTTTTGTCATCTAGCAAAAGAAGTGGTTTTAGTATTGATGATCCCTTTAGGACCTAACATTCTCATGTTATGTTTTTGACAAAGATGGTTCCCCGCCACATTTACCATATACTACTGTTGTCTCAAGCTCTTTTACGTGAGAAAGATACGAACAAATGAGTAAAGAGAAAAACAATAGAAGTCTGACCCTTTTCAACTGCCCCAAAAATCTGAACAGAAAAATATTAACTTGAAAGATTCTTCTATATGTGACGTATTTTTTGTTATACCCATAGTTTCCAATTATAATTATAGCCATTCTTTAGCTTTTGATTTCTGTCATATACAAAAGACATTTCTCAAAACTTGAGTGATTCTATTGTTTATACCATGCTTTCTCTTGTTATAAAACCCATTCTCTGATGATTCCATCCAACCTCCCTAAAATTACACTGACTTCAAGAAATAGGGACTTGGGGAGAACACTAACTCCTCTATTTTATGGAGCCTACTACAACATCATAGTGTATTTTGGTCTTTTAAACTTAATAAAAAAGGTAATATATTTTATAGAATTAATTATAGAATTAACTATACATTAAGCTCAAATACATAATAAGTCCAATAAAAGCTAACTTGAAAATGCATGTGTAGAATGCTAGGAGAACAAAAGAGATAATTCACTGACATAGGGAGCAGGGTTTGATGTTTTTGTATTCTTCAGAGTAATATTTCTTTACTTTCCACCCTCCCAATTTTTTTGCAGGATAACTTATTTTTTGTCTGTCCTACTATACAGGGGTAGGCAAACTTATGTGTATAGCAGTAAGTATATGTGACAGATTTTTTTCTTGTATTACAACTGTAAACCTATTTTTGCTCACTCTTATATAAAGGAGAGCCAGCTTCTATCATGGCAGCTATTCTAAAGGAATAGGTGGGTTTGGATGCAACATGAATATGTCACATGTTAAGCATAAGAAGAAGCAAGTTACACTATGTTTGGTGCACTTTTTCTAGACGTTTCACTTTAAAATACCATTTCTTGAAGACATTATGACAATAGCAAAGTCTGAGCAAAGAGTATGGCTTTATCTCCTTCAGAAAACTGAATTATTTCTTTCCTCCAATTCCAGAAAGGTGTGGGAAGTGATTATGAGGATTTATGGATAGCAAGTTGAATACTTACAAATATGCTAGATCCCAATAAGGAATTTGGCTTGCCTATACGGAATTTTCAAAGAAGTGAGTCATGCTTTTTGATAGCCCTCTATTGAGCTCAAGGTTGATTGGGGGATAATATAAAATTTAGACAAGGCCTTATTTTCTTCTCTAATGCTTCCAAAGTCTTTGAAAAACTATACTAAGCAGATTTCTCCTCTTCTTTAATCTGATCTACATAAAAAGTACAAGCAGCAGGATTAAGACTTTTTGGATACCTAAGCCAACATCTCTGCTCTCTCCGTTGAGTCTCCTGACACTTTAGAAATGGGTAAGTTTGACAAATGGTTTTCAATAGACATTTCCCTTCCTTTCTTTCTAGAGCTGCCAACCAAAGAGCCTCAAGTTATTTGGATTACATTCAGAGGCCTGGGTATTGAAAACAGCTTCCTAGTTCTCTGCACTCAATCATTTTAACATCAAGAAAGATCTCGCTAAAGACAGTAATGAAGACAAGCAGCAGACTGAGACACATCCTGCTGGACCTTCCCACGCATAAGGTCAGTGCTTCAAAAGGCCTTTATGGGGGAAATCAACTTATTCAACTGTGCTGTAACAGGTGAGATTATGTTTTTCACTTCTAGTAAAGATTGCTTCCTATAATTCAACATGCAAAAAAAAAAAATCAGGCTGTATTTTTGTCAAGTTAAAAACCTATTTCATTTATTGGGGTGATGTTGGTTCATACAGTTATACAGGCTTCAAGTGTATAATTCTATGATACATCATCTGTATATTGCATTGTGTGCCTATCGCCAATACAATTAACCAATGTCACCCGAATAAATTTAATTAAAAAAACGATTTCAGAAGTTTTTGCTTAATTTGCCTTATGTCATATATCCAGGCTATAACATCAAAGTCCTAGTCATTGATAAAAAACAAACAAACTAGTTTTCACTTAAAAAACTGTGAAGGCAGAAGGAATTTGAGACTGAGAAGGAAGCCTTTCAATCCTCTTAGCACATCCCTCATTACGGCCTCTGAGATTTCATTGACCATTTCATTTGATAGGGACTATTCTCTCACCAAGATAGAATCTTTGTTCACACATATAACACTTCTTCAGGGAAAGCAGGATACAATTCCCCAAGAATTCTCAGATAAAATTAATTACAACTGTCAGGTCAAACACAGGCCTCACTACCAAGCAACATGACATTTTCCCTCTTGTTATTGTTTCTATAAGCTTCCAAATGTGCAGACAAACACATAGAGAGCCATTTAGTTATCAAGCATGCTGAATTTTCAAAACCACAAGAAAGGACTTTCCAGTAATACAGCAATGACCCATGATGATTTGGCTACAGGATACCTTTATAATCAAACGCCGGCGGACAACTCGGGTAGTGACTCTCTGTTCCTCCTCTGAGCTTGAATCACTCTCACTGTTTTTCAAGTCCTGATAAATGTATTTTTAGCATAATTTTACCATCACATTTAAAATAAAAGACATTCTGAGAAGGGAAATCAAAAAAGAATTACTTTTACTTTCTGGTTTTCCCTCCTCTAAGGAAAATCATGATGCTATATTTGTGAAAATGTTTTTAAAAATTTAAGTGAAAGAAAATTTTGAGCAGGATTCTAAGTGAAACTACTCTGTATGTATGTATTTATGCATACGTGTGTGAATCTAATTACTTTGGTCTTTACCTGCATATATATATGGAAGACCAAGGTAAATAAATGATAAAATATTAAAAATAACAATTTTAGAGAGTTTTTGGCACCAGAAAGTACATGCAACTAATTATTAGTTTGAAGAAACATTAATATTAATTTTTAACTAGTTTTAAGTCTGTATACATTTGACTTAAATGTATAATCTTATAGTTCAGGCCATGTTTCAGTTAATCTACAGAAAAAGGCATGGTATTTGATTTTTATGAAATTTTGGTCAGGTTTGACAAATTTATAAGAATTTATATAAGCATAATTGGTACCTAGTAAGAGTTTATTCAAATAAATGAAGGGATAATGTAAAACATGTCAAAATATGAGGTCTTCTTTGAAGAACTGATAGGAAATTAGAATAGAAAAAAAAACATCTGACAGACAAGATCATGGTATAAACAGAATACAGTAACTAAACTAATGCTAATTTTTAGGAAATAAGGATAGGAATATGAAAAAAAAACTGCCAAGTGGCAAACAGTTCATATTTCAAAGGGAAAAATATCTTTGGCTTCCAATTAAATGTCATAGTGAAAAATATTTACTGAATGATTTTATTGATGGAATTCTGAAATTTTATTTTCTAAGTTTACTAATTACCTCAAATTTGATAGTACTGGAGTTAGAAGTTGTAGTTAGAAAAATCAAAATAAGTAAAATTGTTATGGGAGGTATAAGTGCTAGCTAAAATGATTAATGAAATGTTAGTCAAATAGATAATATAATAGGCCATATTCACCAAAGGTAAACTTAACAAATATATAAAAATATAATATCAAACTTGACTTTGTGGGAAAGTTCATGTGAACAAAACATCCTACTGAATAATATATAGGGTCAAATGGAAACAGTTTTTGAGTTTCTTACTCTTTGCAAAGATATTGGTTGCTAAGTTTCCTATTACTTTTTAAAGTTCATTAGAAAAGGACCATAAATTCAGGACACTTAAAATGACCTAATATTATGAAAGAAGGCCCTGCAATAGTTCCAAAAGGCAGAAAGAGGTAAGAGGAATTCATATTGTGAAAGAAAAGAAGTACTAATCAGCATTCAAGGATAAGTAGGTTAGATGAGGCAAAGGGAGAATTCAGTCAGAATTAACCATACATGGAATTGTAAACTGGGGAACAGTTTTCCCTTGGGTAAATTTAAAAGCAGAAGAACAGATACTAATGCAAACACTAGTAACAAATCTAGATGTCAAATTATATCATAATCCTATCAAGCATCATCTAAGACCAGCCCCTCACATAAATAAAAAGTGGCCATTTGGCCAATGTTTTAGTTTCCATTCTCTTCCTGGTGTCTATGCTAATATTAAGATGAAGAGTAACAGAATGTAGTAGTAGGACCACATCAGGATTCCTTTTGGAGAATTTGCTAGGAATTGGTAAACAGCGTTAACTAAGAGGCCAAATGGAATTTTCTTAGTACTCCTTGCCATGGGTTGCTGCATGGAAAGAGGTGGAAAAGAACAGAATTTTACCTTGTAACAGCAGGTAGTCATTCGTGTAAGAGCTGCACCCGGACTTTTGACCTGATTATTTAGGGAACAAAAAGGGGGCTGTTTCTGAAATCATACATCAGATGACCTCTTGGTTGCTATTGTCCTATGGTCTAGTCACAAAAGACCCATACGAACATCTTTGGATTTCTTGTGAGGTCAGGCTCATATCTACCAGAAGCTTGAACTCCAATATGAATTTTTATGCTCATAAAAACCTTTACGCATTGGAGTAGGACCTGTGACCAACACCAAAGGCATAAACTCATTTATTGAAAATATTGCAAACATTTCCTAGTATGATTGTTTTCCATTACTGATGAACTCAGCTGAGATTCCTTCCAGGGTTAAGACTTTATGCCTTCTCCTTGGTTCTCTAATAGCCAATCTGTATGCACATGTACACACATAGAGGTGCTTATTTATACTTTGATTTCAGTACTTTCTATTGATTTTAATAGGCTTTTGCACAATAGATGTTCATGGTTAAAACACCATAATGTTAATGTTTCTAACTGTGGGCTCATTTTAAAAGGGAATATTTTACTCAAAATCATACTGCTTACATAAACTAAGAGTTAACTAAAAGAAATTGATATTCAAAACCCCACTTGTCAGGAAAGAAGTGGAAAAAAGACCTGACAATTTTACTTCCTTTCCCTGTCCTTCTTAACAAGCAGGAAAATGGTCAAAAGATAGTCTGCAGAAGGGAAAAGGAGAGATATTAGTCAATAAGCTGACAATTAGCTCCTGAGTGATTGGGAATTTATACATTTTTAAACCTCATATTAATCATGGACTCACTATTTGACAAAAGAAAACTAGATGTTTTAAGGAAAATGAGAAGTGCTACTATTCCAAAGATGTATAACTCTTAATCTATGTCTACTACATAGTTCATGAAAAGACATAACATTTGAGAACAACAACAACAAAAAATCAGCTCTATTTTCTCATATCCATCTTTGAATCATAATTTCAATTTAATTTTTTAAAATATCTAAAAATGATAAAACCTCAATGAATAAAAAACTATTAAGATAGTATCACCAAAACATACAAGTACAAAGAGCAAGCAAATAATTCTGTGGCAGTAGGTCCTAAAATTATTAAAAACAAATTAAGATAATTATCAACTTAGATATAAAAATTATTAAAATGATACTTCTTACTTTAAATTTCTAAATGCTGTCAACCAATAGTGGCATATACACACATCATTTTAGGCTTGGGAACTATGTTTCTTCGATTTTTAAAGCACACTTTCAGACAACTGACCTTACAGGGTAAAACTTTTAGATGGGTTGTGTGTTATAAACTTTAAATTATGCAAAAGAACCAGAAAGGGTCAGAACAATTACCCTCCTTGCAAAGGAAAGAAGATCGGATTGGGAGTTAGGAAACTTAAATCCCAGACAAAATAATACTGGACCTTAAGCTGGTTACTTAACATCTCTATAATCTGAAAAATGGCCAAAGAGATGGTTATTTCTTTTTCCTACCCTATGAATGACGGACGATATGATCAAATAGCTTATGCTTTACTCAGAACTTCCTTTACCCCCAACATTAGTGTTGTAATTTTCGGTCACACATTTATAATTTGGAAATAGTAAAGAACCTTGGGTCAATGCTACAACATTAATCAGAGGAAACGAATCATCAATACCTTCAGTTTAAAGGACAGCATTCTGAATAAAGGCGACGTACCTTTGGCTCAGACCCACTGGACCCCTCTTCTTCGTGGAGGTTAAGCCTTGGCTTGCCATCTGCAGGAGAAGTCCTACTCATCTTTTTCATACCGACAGGCACACAGGGTTTAGGCTCCTCTATTAAAAACTTGCTGGTTTCTTCGAGAGATTTCTGATATGCTGCTAGTGATGATGCTGGTTCCTCAACACGACCATATCCGTGTGGCTTTGGTTTCAGAGTTTCCTTAGTACTCTGTTTGCCTACATCATTTTGGGATTCTGGAAAGTAAGATTTCGTCTTTGCTTCTGGAGTGATTTCTGCATGGTTCCCATTTGCTTCAAATTTCCCAGGTTCTCCTTTGAGGTATGAGGTAATGGAATCTCTACATTGGTCTGGGCTGCAAAAGGTAAAACGTAGAAATTTACAATGGTAACACATGGCTGGAAATGGGTCTAAATTTTTAACAACTATGATTTGAAATACATTTGAAGGCATAAAATAGAAAGGCCTGAGAACTCTGCTCACTGGATTTCAAACTGTGAGGGGCAGTCCTGGGTGTGGGGGTGAGGAGGTGCTACGTAGGCTCTAGGCAGCTCCCAAGCTGGCTAGCTATGCTGTCATTGCTTGTGTTTTTTTTAATTGCACTTCTATAGCCACTTGAATTCTTTATCTTAAAAAGCAATCCTGAGCAGTTCATGGACCGCTCAGAGGAGGATATCTCAAAATGCTTTTATACTGCCAGTGAAAAACCTGCTAAGGCACAAAATGAATTCCTGTGATGAGAGCTGTGGCATCCCCTAGAACCCCAAATTCCAGTCTTTGTGTTTCCAATTATGATTCCTGCTACCATGTTTCCAGTTATAATTCTCTTCCTCGCTCCCATCTTTCTATGCCCCTGACCTCTGCTGACACGTGCTCACCCACTGCTTTTACTTCCTGTGAGAACTATTTTTCTTTCAACTATTAAAAATCTTTCTCTTCCAGTACTTAAAAAGTGATTTCTAATTTTTAGTCATTTCAGTATAGACTTTTTGTAGCTTGTGTATTGTGTTTAGTGTCTTTGCTTATTACCCGTAGACTTCTGAAGGCAATAACTATTGCAATGTTTTATATGTGTAACATATTATTATGTATATATATGTAAGTATGTGTGTGTGTACACTTGTAATCAAATTGATTATCTAAACACAGTTATCAAAAATATCAATAGCACACCCTATTCTGTTTGTGTAAGGACAAACGGTTCCAGCACATTGTGATGATCCTATAACAGCGGTTCTCAACCTGTGGGTCGCGACACCTTTGGGGGACGAATCACCCTTTCACAGGGGTCGCCTAAGACCATCGGAAAACACATATATAATTACATATTGTTTTTGTGATTAATCACTATGCTTTAATTATGTTCAATTTGTAACAATGAAATTGGGGGTCACCACAACATGAGGAGGTTGAGAACCACTGTTCTATAACATAACTACAACCATAAACTATACAACTGTATCTGGATGTAGACATCAGAAGTAGTGTTCTTTATTGTCTTGGCTCTTTGGTAGGGTGAACACAGAACTCATTGATGCTACCATTCTGCAAAAAAAGTTTTGTAAACTTCACCTTTGGGAATTTTATGGAGCAAGAGGCTTAGTAAGATGAAAATATTAAATTTGGTTATGAAATAATCTGGGTTTTTTTTGCATCCAATTTAAGTTTATCATTAGTTGCCATTGAAGTAAAATGTCTGATGTGTACATAAAAAAATATTACTAACAGACTATTTGCATCAGTCATTTGGTATGCATGCTACAAGCTTTCTTTTTCAATATATAAACCTGTTTGAGGAAAGTAGTCATTCTTATTTTTAAAGCTGATTGAAGTGACATTCTTAGAGCTTAGAAATTCATCCAAAGTCACAAAGTGCAAACCTAATGATGGTGAGATTTGAATCAATGTCTGGAGGACATTAAACTCCCACCTTTCTAGAGTAAGGCCACTATAAAAAGAATCAGATTCTTAATTAGGGAATTACATTGGATATAAACAAATTTCAATCATGGCAAAATTATTTGGGCTAAAGAATTACATATACTGCCTAGCCAGTGTTGCTCAGTGGTTGAGCACCAACCCATGAACCAAGAGGTCACTGGTTCGATTCCTGGTCATGGCACATGCCCCAGTTGTGGGCTCAGTCCCCATTGGGGCATGTGCAGGAGGCAGTCGATTGATGTTTCTCTTTCATCAATGTTTCCCTCTCCCTTCCTCTCTCTCTCTAAAAAAAAAAAAGGTACATATACTATATTTCAAATCACGTAAAACACTCATGTATAAAAAAGGAAGGATATTATATAAAAATGTGTTTTCTTAGTATGGTAGAAAGACAAATGACTTTTCTTTTTCTTTGCGTTTTCTGTTAAGACATTTTAAAATATGTATGCAAAAAAAAAATCCACCAAAATTTTAATGGTGGTTATTGCTAGACTGTGGGGTTGCATTGATTTTTTATAAATCTGTATTTTAAAAATTTGTATAATAAGCCTGCTTATGTTTATATTTCTTTAAAAAACTTGGAATTTATTTATTATATTCTTTTGAATGAGCATTAATGACTGGCTATGTGAAAAGAGTAGTCTTCTAAAGTAAAATGTACATCAATTTTTGGCATGTATTTCAAACTTTCTGCATTTCCCTCAGGCTGTCAATAGTTTTAAGAATTATATTTGCGCTTAATGTAATTTTCCCTCTCCAGATTAGCAAATGTACCAACCTTTAAAGCATGTATTATCCCCAAACTGGAATGGTCATGTAAAAAAGAGTAATTGCTGAAAAGCACATATTTAAACTACTAATATGTAACCTGTTTCATTTTCCTTTTTCTGAAGCAGCCATACCTGTCATCCAGTCGATCTAGTAACCCACCAGTTATTCTTCGAGCTTGAGCCGGGGACTCTAGGTTTCCACTGGTCTCATTCTGCCAACCTGTAATTGAAGACATTTCCAGTTCTGCTTGCTGAACACGTTTAAGAATAGCCTCTACTTTTTCTTCTGTCATCTCCTCAGACTCTACTCCTTCTTCAAGTTGAATGTCCTCAAATAGAGATTTTAGTTTTTCTTCTGTCATCTCCTCATCAGGACCAGATTTTCCTTTCTCTTGCTGCTCAGAGCTGACTCTTACTTTTCTAGTATGTTTCAGTGGCTCTGCTGGTTTAACATCTTTTGGGACCCCAGCCATACTTCCAAGGTATCGAGGATACTCACTCAGATAAACATTCTCCAACTGGCTCTCATCTACATCGACTGCTTCGGGCATTTCTGTTATAGGCATTGAGTCTTCAAGTCTGCTGTCTTCTAAGGAAGTGTCTTCTGCAGTTACAACTGGAGGTCCATCTGCTGAATGCTCTATGTTTCCCCGGGAAGGCACTAGCCCATCACTCAGTCTACTGGGGGTTCTAAGGGGAGATTCTATGCTAGAGGTATCACTAAAATAATCATCTTGCTGGAAAGGGGTGGGTGGTGTGTAGTGCAACCCTGTGGGAGTTTCCAGTTCCACTTGAAGGGAAGGATAACCTATGGAAGACAGTACATTTGGACTGACTGGAATGAATTACGAACACATCAAACAAAAACACATGGAATGACTTAAATTATATCAGGTATGAAAATGTATGATGAATTACAGAATGATAAATTTATTGGTTTAGTTCAATTAAATGTAATACAATGAAATAAAAGGCTAGTGCAAACTATAATAAGATAGGATATTAATTAAGATATAGACTGCTTATCAATTTTGGTAATTTTAATATAACTTAAAGACACAGATTAATGTAATCCAATATAAAGTTATTTGCCACTATATAAGATACATTTATTCCATGGCCAAATTTATTATCATTCAACTTTTAGCATGTAAAATCCATATTTTGGTGGATTAAATACAGCAAGCCACAAGACACCAATTTTTATAATTACTTATAACTTATTTTAAGAACAGTGCATATGAGCGATTCTACCCAACTCTAATTTTTAGTTATTTCACATGAAATTTACAGCAAAGAAAAGTGAATTTAATATTTGGAAAGAAATGATTATTAGATTTTGGAAAAAAAATCTAAAACCATGTTAGGAAAAGGACTTAAAAAGCATATAAAGTAGAAAAGACTCCATGTAAATTTTCAAGTGTCATAATGTGTCAGAGATGAAAGGGCGGTGGTGTATATGGACATTTTGGTAAACTTGGTGAGATGGGTCCACTCAGAACCATGAATCAAATAAAGAGAAAAAGGAAATGGTACAACAGAGACAGGAGGAAAACCATCTGCAAAGAGGTCTGAATATCCACGACAAGGCTATGAAACACGGAGGTTTATTAACCAGACTACATAGAGGGGATGGAGGGAGCAGGTCTCATGTTTTAAACTGTGCTGCATGGGCTAAGGGAGTATTTTTCTCTTTGAGCAGAGAGAAAAGTCAACAATGGTCTGGTCATGGTGAGGAAAGGAAGTTTTACAGAATTTCAACAAAGAGGAGAGACAGGAAAAAACAACAACACACAACGCAACCCAGCACATTTTCTGAATTACTAGTCTACAAAACTAAAGCCTCATTTTTCCATCAGTCCAAGGTAAATACCAACTTAACTTTTATTGTGAATTCAGGTCACTATAGGTAAGTGAATATTTTCCTATTATGGTCACCTGTAGACCAGAATCTTGTTGAAAAGCTGGCTAAGATTAGCTGAGGTTTATAATCTGCACAAGTGATATTTATTTAATACACATATCTCTAAATCTCCCTATTCTGATTTTAAAATGTTAAAATTAAATGTAGTTTTCAATTCCATTGAATACGTCCATTGTTTCCTGGTGATCTTGTGTATTAGAGCTACTGTGCTTAAAAATTTTCCCAACAAAGAATATTAAAATATTCTATAATTTGGCAATAATTCATCATTTGATATAACATGATATGTCTTTAGTACCAATACATGGTTTCACATATAAGATAAGGCTTTAAGGAGAGCTTTTCCCCAAGATTCTCTGGTGTTTATAAACTGAAAGAGAAACCACTTTTGACATTATTACCCATCATTCTTATGTTGTGGTATGCTTTAAATTTTCTGTTGACTTTGAGAACTTTTATCACATAACATGCAGAATTAGAAGTTATTGATTCTTGTTAGTCTAACTTTTCCAGTTTAAAACTGGAAAAAGATCATCATATTTTCCAAAACATGGAATAGTGGAAAAATATCCCTAGTCCTTCTTCCTGCCTCCACACCATCATCAACATTTTTACTCAAAATTCATTCTAGGAATAATTTCCATTTGTGAAGGAAGATGAGCATCTTGAAAAACATAAGATATGTTATGCTTTTCTTAATACTTTGATGAAAAAGCCCAAATTTACATAATGAAGGAAAAATTACAATATCTATAAATGAAGCTAACATAAAAGACAAATTATGTTATTAGAGACATATATGTTCATTGAATAGAAATTATGCTGCCTTTTATAAACTATATTAGTCAAGTAGGGTTTCCCGCCCCAACAAATAAATAGCACACAACAATAAAATAATGCTAAATAACTAAAATACTTTTTGAGTGACACATTAGACTTTTTTAGTACATACTTAAATACTGGGTCCCAAAACAGTAATTCAGTATTTTACTTAACAATTTGTATAATATATGCTTAAACTTGACCCAACACCTTACCTACTCGGTAAAACAGCTTGCAATTTGGTTTTGTCTATATACAATAGCTAATTCACTAGTTTTCAAGGTTAATGTGAAAATGACAAAAACTGTGTAGTGTCTAGATATTAAACCTTTTCCCATTTGGTCACATAAAATATTTGAAATAGAATTCTTTCAGATAACATATGCTTTTATATCTCATTGTTCATATTTTACATAAGACATTTATCATTTGGTCTATCAGAGTATATATTTGCAGACTCTGGCAGAAAAAAATGCTGTGAAAATGAGAAATTAAGTCAAGCAAATCATCATTTAGCTGGTTTAACCGACTTCCTTGTTTTACTGCACTTTCAAATTTTATCAAATGATTAAATAAATATGAACACTGGATTCAATTACCATCAACAGGGTCATGGAAAACATTGTTCTCATCTGCAAAACTTCTGGTGCCTGAAATATTTCCATAATCAAATATTGGTCCTTCTAGCAGAGTCACTATATCTATTCGATTAATTTTTGTCAAGACCGAAGTTAAGGCATCAGCTGAAAAGGAGGGGGAAAAAAAGGTTGAAAATCCAAGGAAATTATTTCTTTCAGTCATCACAATATCCACACAAAGACATAGCTTTTGCGACCCTGCTGGTATTTTAGCTCTTCCTGATTGCAGCTCTGAAAACCAGAGGGCTCAGAAAACTGGCCACTCCTGGGAAGATTTGTAAGGGTCTTAAGAATCACCCGATAAAGCTGTGCTTGAAGACAGCAACATTCATTCCATTGTAAGATGCAGAGCAGATGAGCCCCAAAATAGCTACATTCCTTTTAGTTATAAGGGGATCTCAAAACATTTTAAACATGTTCCTCTCCTTTCAGACTGTCAAAACAGGTCGCCCTCATATCTAATGCTTAGCAATTTAATGACTTACTAAAATCAAGGTGACCTTACAATAACTTATTCCACATGGTTGTGGGTTGGCACCCTCCTATGCCACCCACAGTAAAACAAAACCCAACAATACTAGAGAATTCTCTGCCACCACAGACCAAACTGTGTACAATGATTTGATTCCCTAATTTGATCTCTCTACTTCCCTGTACATCCATCTCTGACCACAGCAGTAACTTCATAGTGTTTGCCTACCACCCCACGATTTAACAGTTAGAATTACATTTTCACTTTTAATGGTCACAGAGAGAACTTCAGACAAAAACGCAAAAAAATTCCCTACTATTTGCTTTCTGAAAGCTTCCTAAAGATAGGTTAGAATATCTGCACTAAACTAATATAATTTCAAAAGACCTGCTACTACTTTTTGATTACTCTGATGTTATTAACAGTAGATTTATAGAAAATATTGGATATATGCAATTATGAAAGTTAAAGTAATATAATTTTAGCATACTTGTAGCATTTTTTCCATCTCTGGTAACCCATTTTTTTAATAACATGAAGCTTTGAGAAATTAAAGAATTTGGATTTTCCACACGTATTTGATTGATTTCATCCACTGAAAAATTCAGTTCCCTTGCCAGTTCTGTAGAAAAGAAAAAGAGTTACTTAGATTTTGTATTCTACTTTTATCACATACATTTCATTAAAAAAAGAAAAAAGAAAAGAATTTTACAGTAAAACCTAAGTATAGCCTTGGGCAAGAATCATTATATACTTGATTTCTCAGGAAAATAGTGATCCTACATAGGCTGTGATTGAACTCTTACTTAGTTACAATTAGATTATATAGTTTATTGATCTGCAGAAAGATTTGCTGGATTCTTTTAATTCAGCCAAATTATTCTTTCAATTCGAGCAAACTTTGTGCAAGGGATATACAGTTCATAAATATTTGGCACAAGAGATGCTGGTGTTTTCCCTAGGCAGTCTTCATGAGGTACATCTTTTACTCACTTAATATTCTACTCTATATGTCATCAAGTTGCATGAACTTCACTTCGGAGGCTAAGGAATGACTCCAGGCCAGATCACTGTGTACGATATGCTGCCACATGTATACAAAATAAAGGGAGATAACTTTCTATCCATCTAGATGTATACACTCAATCTTGTTTATGCTGAGAGTGTCTTTGGGAAGATATGTATGAGTAGTAGTGGCTGCTTTAGTCGAGGGGAATGTAGAAGTCAAAGGTGAGAAGACTTACTTATTTTTTTGTGTAATTATAAAAAGTAAGGAATGGTAAAAATATCCTTCCATGGAAAAGGAATTGGTCAAGATTCTATCCTGCTTAATTTTTTTTTTAATCAAAAGGATATATATTTTTACATTCAGTATTATTTTGTGTTGGTTTCAGGTATAGTGGTTAGACCATCATATTTCCAGCAATTTGTCAAAATGCATTCGGAGGCTCAAAAAAAGTCCATATCGTTTGATCACGTGATTCTACTTTTAGAGATCGATATTGACAATACTTAGGGTTGTACATAATGATTTACATACAAAGAATGTTCATTGTAGGCTTGTACTACTGAAAAATTGAAAACAATCCAAGTGTTGAACAAAAGAGTTAATTAATGTAATGCAATGCAGGGGCTTGCAAACTATTTTGATCAGAACCTACAATAAGAAATATATTGTATATCTTGGTGTTGCTATAAGTGAAACTGATCTTTATGGAGCAAAACTAGCCTTAATACATATAATACAGAGATGTCTTCTTTACCATTCTATTCCATTTAAAAACATAACCAAAGCATGAATTGATTCCATGACTCACTAATGACCCACAGTTAGAACAACATCATTGTATAAAGTATCTCTATTGGTTGTTATTGTTTAGCCATTAAAATCAAGATCAGAGAATATTTAATTTTGTAGAAACTATGTACTTGCAAATAAAAAAGCAGTAAGTTGCATAGTTAATATAACATTTAAAAGAGCATTTTTTTTTTTTTTTAATATATTTTATTGATTTTTTACAGAGAGGAAGGGAGAGAGATAGAGAGTCAGAAACATCGATGAGAGAGAAACATCGATCAGCTGCCTCCTGCACATCCCCCACTGGGGATACGCCCGCAACCCAGGTACATGCCCTTGACCGGAATCGAACCCGGGACCCTTCAGTCCGCAGGCCGACGCTCTATCCACCGAGCCAAACCGGTTTCGGCTAAAAGAGCATTTTTTAAAAAAAATCAAAGTTCATTAAGATTACTTAACAGTGATTCTAATGGACAGATTTAAATTTTGTTCTTCTAATTGCTAATTTTCCTAATAATCTTTATTATTATATAGAAATTCAAATTAAAAAAAAATAAATTTGTTTTTAAGTACTTCATCTCTCTGTGTTTTAAGACAACTTACTGCCCAACAAGCTCTCATAACTGAGCTGTATCGTTTGTCTAGACTCAATGAAAGCTAAGACACATTGTCACTAAGAATTTTAGCATTTTATGGCTTTATGTCTGTCTATTCTTACATCACATTTTCTCCAAAAATTTACTCTGACAGAGAACTGGATTTGCTTATGGGAAATAATTTAATAGTTATGGGCATACAATACTGCAAAATCAACATTGACTCCACTTTATTTTCAGATTATAGTGTCCTATGGTAAAATATAAATACTATCTTTAATTTTATGTTAGCAAATGTTTACATACAGTGGATTGCTATTAACTCTCAACCGGCAAGGGATTACTCAAACCATCACCAGCCTCCTGGGTCTTAGCTGTATGTCTGAGAGCAAGGACTGGGTGGAAAGAGAGAGGAGGGTTCAAAATGTAGGAGGGGGAGGGACTTATGGCAGTCAAAGGAAAATTATTTATATGAACTACTTTCATACTCTCCCTTTTAATAGCATAGATAATTATTTTCCTGAGTCTAGATGTATGTCACTGATGGTATGCAAGATGACTTTAGCTATGACAATAATTGACATTTTAAAACTATTATGTTTTATGGCTATGAATTTAAACAAATACACTCAACCTACAGAATATACCTTTCCTGCATAAATAAATAGTTCCATTCATTTCACTATTTTTTAAAATTTTGCTTAAATATGTAAATTTACCATCATTCCTGTTTTCTTGCTTATGTAATTATTGAAAATGATCCTTGTTTTCCATTATCAAAGTGATATAAGTTTTCCTTTAAATAAATATTTGAGCGTAAAATGGAGTCAATTTACAACTATCAGCTAAATAAACATATAGATAATGTGTATATCATAAAAATTGTGAAGATGACGCATGAATGATTAAAATTTTTTAAACCTAGGCATGGATTAATTTAACTGTTGCCTGAGAGAGCTGCTCTAAGGGCATAAACCAGGGGTGGGGAATCTTTTTCTGCCAAGGGCCATTTGGATATTTATAACATCATTCTCAAGCTATACAAAATTATCAATTTAAAAATTAGCCTGCTGTATCTGGTCAAACATTTAATTAACTCACCCCTAATGCCTTGGCAGGGCCAGACCAAATGATTTCGTGGGCCTTTTACAGCCCACGGGCCAGAGGTTTCCTACCCTGGCATGTTTAAAATTTTTAAATTACTTAAAAGTCATAGGCCTTAGCTACGTTTTCTTTTATGCCACAAAATAAATTTCCTATTAGATAAAAGGTTATCCTATATTACCAGAAATGGCATTGTGAGAAAGTGCTTACAATCAAGGTGAAATTAAGATTTAAATTTATATTCTTCAGTGAATATGCATAGGAAAAGCCTTGGAAAATACAGTATACAGTACTATCAGTAATTATTTCTGGGTAGGTAGAATTATAATATTTTTTACTCATTGCTTGTTTTTTTATTATGAACCACCTGTGAATAAGACAGAGAATTTAAGAAACTATCTGTTTCATTCGGGTTTATACACACTTACCTGTCCAACTAAGTCCCAGGTGATCGGCTACTATTGCCATCCTGATATCTGTCCGTTCACATGGACTCTGTGGACCTACGATTTACAATTTCTTAATTAAAATAATCATCAAGAAAAACAGGATACTGGAAAATTGCTTTGAGCAGTACTCAGATTTTACAGAGAGACTAATGCTAACACTGTACACTTAACTGTGTCCTAATCACCTACATGAACACCTCTTTTCACAAGACTCACTTGATTTTCGCCTGCATCAGGCCAAATGTCAGACTACATGGATGCTCAATGTAATGGAATTGAACATGCTGACAGGCTAGCTACTTTACAACCGTTACAGAAGTGTTGTGTTTGTGAAAACACCATGATGGGGTTTCAACTTCTGTGCTTTTACTTTCACAGAATCATATCCGTTAGCACATTAAAAAAAAATTTGCTCATCATGAATGACACCAATATCTTCAGCATGCTTCCCTAGCTGTCTATGGTGTAGTTTGGTTAGAAGGAAGAAAGAGGAGGATATATAAACAGCACATACAGATGACAATGACAGAATGAGAAACTACGGTTAAGTCACTCCACAGGCAATCACAACAGTTCATGCACTAGGGTCTACGAGTTGGAAAGTGTTTACAAACTAGGCTCGTTCTCCAGGATGTGAGCAGAGAGTGCTCGAGAAACCTGACTGCCTTCATTCTCACCAGTCCTCCTACTGCTCCTTTTCTCACTGCCGGCCTTTTCACTCTTTGATTTTAAAGGTGCTGCCTCTGTTTTCTTATCTCTAGCAGACTTCGTTGTAACTGAAGGCTGGCCACCCCGGGAACTCTCGGACAACGACGTGTTTCTTGAGGTACTGTCTTCCTCATCCGACACCTCGGACTGCATCTTTTTTTCTTCTTCAGAGAGGCGGTCCACAAGCTTTAAGGTCTCACCACTAATTCCCTTAAAATATTCAATGGAATGTTTACAAACTTCCTTAAGCTGACTTTTCCTGACTTGAACTGTGGTGGTAGCACTGGAGGTGGTGACACAGGTGGATCTTACCTTTACTGGCAACTTGGATGGCAGGTGTTTAGCCTTGTCTTTCTCTGGCTGCCCTTGCTTATGTGAGGTGCATGCTTTTCTAACTGAAGCTGTGTTATCCCTGTGTGTGTTTTTTACTGGAATTCTGGACTTTACGTCTAGACATGAAGAAGAGGTAAGGGTTTTGGCTTTCTCAGATGGACTAACCTGCTTCATTTTACTCCCTTTCATGTTTGACATATGATTTGGTGGGAAGGTATCTTTTGCTGAAGTGGCCTTTATGGGAAGTTTGGATTTGCGCCTAATCCCTACCGGTGCCTGTGTCTTTTGCTGCTCTCCAAGCACTTTCTGCTTCTCTCTCACACAGTGTCCCTGTGGCACCCCTGTCTTTTTTCCTGATGAGCTTTTCACTGGATTAGCTTTCTCTGTGGTACGAGTGGGTGCGGCGTGTTCTGTCAGAACTACGTTACTTGTAATGTTATCTGTCTGTATAGTGGAAGAATCCAAATTGTTGTTGTTATTAAAGTTATCTTTTTGAAAATCGTGTTTTTCTTGGGGCCTAGCACCCATGTGGCTATCGGCTGAATTTGAAACCACTGTTATAGTTTCATTTTCTAATCCCTGACAACTGGTCATCACAGCTTCTATCTTATCTGTGACTTCTCCAGGGCCTTCTTTCTTCATGGTCATGGTGGACGCAGAAATCCCCATTTTTATAGGCGTGCGCAACTTGGGGTCAACTTTCAAGGTGTTAGTGGCTGCTGCTGACTTCTCCAGGGAGGCACTACTGGGTGTGCCTTCCTGACACTCTCCGCTGGTCGGGATGCTGGGTTTAGGTTCGACCGCAGGTGCCTCTACATTTCTCTCTAGATTGGTTTCTACAGTGGTGTCCCCTGACTGTGGCTGTGGTGTGGCAGTGACCATACTTTTATCCCCTTCCCCCTGGTCCCCTGACTTCCCTTCAGAAGTATGCTCACCAATCTGGAAAAATTGGAGCCTCTCTTCAACAAAATCCCTCTTGCTCATGTCAATTGCACCACTGCGAGTCATCTCAAACATTTTTCCTTCATGAAATGGGAAGGGGTTAGGCTCACTAGTTGGGGTACTTTCATCGGTTGGTGTTCTGGCTGGCGTTGTATCAGGGGTTGTTGCCGGAGAGCGGTCTTCCACAGCCAGACCAAATGGCTTAGTTTCATCTTCCCGGGATTTACTGTCAAAAACTTCATCATCCCCTCGGTTATTAGACCAAGGGTCAAAATCTAGACCTTTGGTAGCTACTGTTTTAAAAGGAGTGGCAAATTCTTCATCTACTTTGTAACTGAAATAAGTATCAGGAAACACGGATCTGTCAGGATGTCTGCCTTCTAGGGTGAAAAACTGGGCCCCTGACTTCTGATAAGTCTTATCAGGAGTCTTTTCCGATGAAGAGCTTTTGGAAGATGGCTTATCTTCATCTGGTCCCACCCTTCCCTCCTCCTCGATGACTTCAAGTTTACTTTGGCTAAAAGAGCGATCAGCTGGCTTCAGAATGCCCTCTGTGTTCCAGATGTCTTTCTTAATTTCCATGGTCTGACTTGGGAGTTTGGAATCACTCTCTGTCAAGCCATCATCTTCATCTTGCAGGTCATAGCCATCAAGAGAGTCAATCTCTGTGGCATCTGTATCATGAGAAAACTCGGCTGTGGTAGCAATGGAACACTCTGTGATGGACTGGTCGTTGTTCCCATTCTGGGCAGTTTCATTCTGAGGCGAATCAAGGCCAAATTCATGATCTTTTCCAGATCCATTAGTTTCTAATTCTTTCTGGTTGGAAGCCTTTTCAGCAGAAGCTTTGGGTTTTGTCGTTTCTTTTTGATCACTGTCTGCTTCCTTTAATTTGAAGGTGTATTTTTTAACTGGAACTGGTTGATAAAGTGATTCATCATCGCTCGAATCACTGACGTCTGCCCCAGGAGGAACTGGGGAGGGTGGCTGCACTCGGATGACTGGCTCAGCCAGCTGGTACTTGTCATGCTCATCTTGCAGACTGACTTCAATCATGCCAGCCTCTCTTTCAGGCAGAGAAAGATCCTTCTCCGACTCCATCTGGTCTGCATCCAGTGGCGGAGGAGGGGGGAACTCGATATAGGCAACTCTGTTGGTTTTGGGTCTTTGGTTAGAGTCTTTGCTCACACTGCTAGGCAATTCGTGAGCGCCTATTATCTCCTCCACTGTAGTCTGCTTCAAGGAGGATGACTTGCCCTGCTCCTCCTCCTCCGATTCCTCAGAAACCTCGGGAATTGGGCTGGGTTTACCTGGTATATAAGCTATGAGTGAGTCTGGTGTCTTAGACGTAAATTCATAACTCACTTCCTCTGAACTGGGTGTTTCTGGGGTTAAAGGGCTTTTCCCAGAGCTGTCTAGAAAGGAAACTTGCTCTAGAGTATCATCTTCCGGACTACCTTGGGGAGAAGGAGGCTGCTTTTGCTGTCTGGTTGTATAAAAGGTTCCCCTGGTCTCTTGTACTGTCTTACATTCCTGACTGATGATTTTTTTCACACTTCCTTGTTGTATCTCCTTTTCATACTGCTTCCCCACCTGTACAAAACTGACATAAACAGGTAAAGTTTTTATCTCTTTCCCTCCCTCTGGCGGGGCTAGTGGTGCAACTTTTTCCAATCCATCAATGGGACTGTGGTCGAATACTTCGCTAGAGGGAGATTCTTTTCCTGGGCTAAAGTCTAAAGAATCAGGAGATTTGGTGGGGGAGCTTTCAGTTTCATCGAGAGAGGGGCATAAGCCTACATAACTCTGATGTTTGGAAACTTTGCTGATTTCTGAATAGGTAACTTTTTCATCTTCTAGAGAATTAAAGTGCTGTGTCTCCACTGTCTCTTTGTGACTTGACTGGGGTGACTTTTGTGATAGTTCATGCTTTGGAAATGGCGACTGCTCACAAAAACCAACGGGAACATTAGAAGACGGCATTCTCCGCTCATCGGCCATCCTGACTGGGATGTGCGACACCGCCGAGCTCTCACTTCTCCTGGAAGGTTGATCGAGAGCCCCGCCAGGACGGTCCCCTTCTTTCACAACATATTCCCTGTACAAGACCTTTTTGGAGGGAGATTTTACAGTCATTTCCTTAACTTCTGAGAGAGAGCCATTTGTTAACAATTTGTGTTCTCTCTCAGTCACAGACACAAATTCACTCCTGGGATCAACAATTTTACTCTCAGGGTGACCAATGTGATTCTCTCTTACATCATGAACAAGTACATGCGAAAGCTTTTCTTTTTGCAACTTATTGTTAGCGGCTCCAGAACTTTCCCACGTTCTAAAGACCTTTTTGTCCCAGGGTCCCTTAGTTGCTAAATCTGAGGTTACATGACATGTCAAGTCTTTAGCCTGTTGCTCAGAAAAGTAGTCAGGCATCGCTTTACTTGACATTTCAGTTCTCTGTTTTTTCACATCATCAGAGCCAGAATCATTTACAACAATCTCACTGCTTTGCTCGGGCTCATCTTTAGCTTTTAATACCATAAAATCTTTTTGGACAGGTACTCTTTCATCTGAGAGGTCTATTGCCTTCTGCTGTTTTTCTCTAGCAAAAAGTTGGTAGACAGGTAGCTTGCTCTCCTGCATTTTTTTAACTGGGATTCTGGATTGGCCATCTGGCTTCTTGTCCTCTTGAGTCACGTCCTTACTTTTGGCCTGTGCACCTTGTTCAAATTTTAATCTAATGGAGCTCAGTTTAGATTGTTTGAGCTGAAACCCAGACTGGGGCCCTTCTGGTGCTTTGCTCTGTGGCACGCTTCCTTGGGCTTCCTCTGTGGACTTGCTGTCCTCAGTCTGTTGGGACAGAACCTTCTTCTCCGGGCTGCTGGGCAGACTGGACGCTTTCCTCTCACTGGCTCTGGGGAGGCTTGGTCCATCACGGGCATGCTGCCTCGCCTTAACCCACTCATCGCTGGATGCCAACAGTTCTGTCAGCGTTACTTTCTCGGGGCTGCTACTGGTAGAGCTTTGAGAAGAGTATTCCTTGCCATTTCTTGGGCGTGCCTTTTTCTCTGGGGACTGCAGTTCATCATTGAGCTTTTCGGTTTTGTCACGAAAAAACTGTGACACTTCAGTCAGTTTTTCTTCAGCTTCCTTCACAGTCCTGTCCACCCTATCTTCATACATCAACTTCTCTCTACCTCTGTCTAATCTGTCCTCAGTAAAGCGCATCCACATGGCATGTTTTGGACTACTACCATCGCCAGAATAGTGCAACACTGTCACTTTATCAAAATGCTCATCTTTAGACACTTTACCTACACCATTTTCAGACACATCTTTATAGATTTTGGAGAGAATTTCTTTTTTGGGGGCAGTGACTACTTTTTCTCTGGACCGCTTATCAGACCCCTGTAACTCTGAGCTAGAGGGTCCTGCATGGTCTGTCACCGATTCCTCAGTATCGGAATGAGACACATCTAGCTTTTCTGACAGAAGCATTTTCTCAGCAAACCTGTAAGACTCCCCTCTTAGTTCTGACAACTCATCGTCATGGTATTCTATTGAGTGTTGACTCAAAAGCTTCAATGTTTTATAAGAGTCATCAGATATGAGTTGAGCAGAACTAGGGCGACTATCTTCTTCTTGGGACACAGGAGTGTTTACTCTGGAAGATTCCAGATAAGAAGGCAAGGACTCTTCTGCAGTGAGTTCTTCCTCTTCTTGCTGACCCTGTTCCTCTGAACAAGGAAAAGCATCGTGTTTTTCTGGCAGAAAATCTTTTAGGTTAACATCTCCCCGGGATAAGTCTTTCTGATACACATACATTTCCTTTTCTGGATGCTTTTTGGTTTCTCTAATAATGACTTCAGTAGGCTCAGCTTGGTTACCTTTTTCGATGTGGACTTCTATTATACGCTCCAGTTTGGGTTTCATTTGGTTGTCCTTCTCTGCGTGCTGGGCTGAGGTTTCAGCAGCAGACTTGTGAACATCTGGGGCCACTGCCGACTTATGTTCAAACAGACCTGCCAGTTCTTTGGAAGGGTCCCGCCCGGACTGAAAGGCCTTCATAATGTCATGGACCGACATGGTTTCTTCAATTCTTTCAGAGGCGCCTTCGCTGCCTGGTGGAGAATGATAAACCGTCCTGGTAGTAGTGGTTATGTGTGTCTCTTCTTTGACACGCATGCCTTTGCTCAAAGCTCGACTGTGGTCATCTTCATCACTGCTGGCTTTCATTTGAAATGCTTTAACTTTTTCTTTAATACTGGAAGTGCTGGGCTTGGGTTCTAATTCCATAAACGTGGGTGACGGTTTGGGTGACGCGGGTTCCTCTGGTTGGGACTGGGAAGCCTCTCCGGCTGAGGGCTCATAGCTCCTGATAACATGAACCACTTCGGTTCTCGTTTCTGTGATGACAGGAGGGATGGGGACTTCGTGAAAAAGCGGCTTGGGACCAGTGCTTTCAGCGCTCTGTGGGGCTGAAGGTGTTTTTTCACTTCTCGTTTCAAAGCCACTGTCAGACAAGGGACTTTTATCTTGGTCGTGCTGAGAAAAGTCATCTGGAGACTCTAAAATAGCATCTGTTCCAAAAAAGGAATCGGCCATTTTACACAATTCCTTCTCGGAGGTGGAAGGCCTCATGGAGGCGGGAGGCATTTTGAGTTTGTGTTCCTGCAAAGCAATTGCTGGTTTTAAAATTCTTTTCTGTCTCTCTTCACCATCTTTCTTTGCATCCTCAAACTTGTACTTTAAGTTTGTCAATGAACTACTCCCAATATCATTCGCTAGGTAATCAATCACCTTGGTCAAGCTGTAATCCTTATCGGAGGCAGCTTTTGCTTTGACTTGCACTCGCTCGGGCAGAGTGGGAGAACGGCTCGCAGCAGCTTGCTGTCTCGCTTCTCTTATTTCTTCGGAACTAAATTCTATCCAGTCGTCTTCGGGAGAGTGTCCTTTGTCACTCTTTGGTGATTTGGGTGGTCCTTTATTATCGACACACACATCTTTTTTAAGGATTTCGCTAACTTTCACTAAGTCTTCCTTTACTTTCTCAACAATTTTGAAAGGTTCTTCGTCCTCCACTCTCCCTTCTTTGGGGAGTTCATGCTGGAATGGCTTCTCCTCAGGCACGTCTGTTTGTAGTATTGCTGTCATCCGCATGAGGTCCTCTTTCATTTCAGCCACGTCTTTTAATATCTCCTGACTGGAAGATAAAGAAGATGGTGCAGACAACTTAAGGGCAGAGGGTGCAAGGAACAAAGATGACTTGACTGGGGATGAAGTTCGATTGAAATGGGGCTGAGGACGTGTCTCCGTAGTCAATGTTTTAATGGGGGACAGCAAGGCTGCTGCTGATTTTGCAAGTGAATTAGAGTCTGGGAGTTTCTTTAATGCTGGTTCTGGCAAAACATTGACTACAGAGTATACTGGCACTGTTATCACCGATGAAGTTACAGATGAGGTAGTTGCAGATATTGACGACCCAAGGGATGCATAGAGTGCACTTGCGGAAGGAGTTCTGAGAGACTGAAAAGCTGATGGTGCTGAAGAAACATATGACCTGAGTGGGGAAAATGGCATTGCTGTCGTAGAAAACACTTTCTCAACTGTTTCTGTGGCGGCATTAACCACAGCGCTTACAGAGTTTGTAGCTGTAGAAATTTTTTCCTGTAACGTGGCAGTGGCTTTGCATCCATTAATTAAAGTTGAAGATGATGGATATTTCAGAGGGGAAATAGATCCATTGACTAATGCTACCTCTGCATGTCCAGGCATCTGCTTCACAGGCGATGAGAGAGAAGAGGCCATCGTAACTTTCGCCGATGAAATGATATCAACTGCTGATTTAGCTGGAGACACCACTGACTTTAAAGGCGAAGATATTAGCGGCGCTGCTGATGTAATGATTGACTTAAATGGCAAACTTGAGGAATACATATTAATGTTTGACTTGGGGGAGGCCGGGGGTGTCATAGTAATTGACGACCTCTCCAAAAGAGACCCTGCTGTAGTCACTGGAGAGGTTCGAGAGGAAAACATAGAACTGGACGGCAGCCCCTTTAAAGGCGAGGCCTCCGTGACTGTGGGCGCTCTAACCAGGGTACCAGAAGACACTTGGATATTGTATGGAGATTGTGACACCACTGTTTTTATTGGCGAAGAAATTGTCCGAAAGGATCTAATTGGAGATGCCACATCACTAATGGATTTAACTGAAGATGTAGTTGACGCGCCTAATGTGGATTTGATTGGAGAAGGAGTCGAAACGGACCAAATGGATTTTAACGGAGAAGCTGATGGCGTATTTGAGGAAGAACTTGATAAGGAAGTGAAGCCTGACTTGGCTGGCCCGGGCACTGTGATCGGAGCTGTGGTCCAGGACTGGTATGGTCTTGTAGAAAAGAATGGCTTGTATGAGTAAGAAGTGGGGAGGGATCTTGTTGCTCCTGCACTCCGTTCAACTGTTTCTTAAATTTTAAAATGAAATCAAACACAAAAATCAACAAAAATGGTTGAGAAACAGAGAGACCAGAGAAAAAAATTGGTCAGTAAACTTTGAAATATTACAAAAGCAAGTACAATTGTTTGCATGATTTAGAATGGAAGAGGCAAAAGGAACAATTAAGCAAAAGAGGGAAAAAATTTCTACAGACATAACTAATCCAAAGTAAAAAACACACAAAACACTAAATAAATAAAAAACAGAGCAATGTGAAATGAAAGACAGAAAAAGCACGTCGCAACCAAATAGGCCAACAATGAAAATTAGGAAACACGAGGAAAGAATTAATGATGAAAAATAACCACAATGGAAAACTGTTCCCTTACTTCCTATTGACTTTCTTATGTGCTGGTTTTGAAATATCAGTAGCCATTCTGTTTTGCCTGTATAGGTTAATGTTTGTTTTGTGCAACCATAAAACTCTCATTTTAGTAATTTCTAATGTTTCCTCGCCTTGAACCATATCAATGTGTGTAGCTATATGTTAAATATCTGAAAGTCTTTTTTTAGAAAACCACTCAAGCCTATTTCATGCAGAATCCAAAATAACTTTTAAGTGACAGGCAACTGATGTGCAAACTGTGAAGCCACTGGATTTTAAATCTGCATCTTCCATGCACAATTCGGTTACGCTTCACACCCATAAAAAGCCAATAAGAGCAAGAAATTCTCTGAGTCAGAATTTTTAAAGAAAAACAAAACAAAGAAAAGGAATGTTTGCATTTATCTTTTCCATGCAGTATATTCCTTTTGGTGAGGAAAAAAAAGTGATATGAAATGATTTTAAGATGCATGTGTACACACACACACATAAAAGGGAGAAGAAAAAAAACCAAAATATGGTTCATGGTTACCATAAGCAAGCAAAGCAACAAAACATTTTATCATGCGCAATATATCATGGCAAACAAGCCAATGAAGTAATACAATTTTTATGCCATAGTATGCACAATATATAAACTTTAAAAATACTTTCACAAGAGCATTGAGAAAGAAGAGTACACTTTTTCCATGAGATGTGAAGTCTTGGTACCTTTTGAGATTTTAGGAAAATATTTAATACTGCATAGTAAAAATACATCTGCAACTAAACATATCCATGTTTGGTGTTGTTGTCATTATGGATAAAAGCACACATTTTATCTCATGTTTTTTTCATAATATGTCATACTTTTAATTCTCAAAAGGTATCATGGGGAAAATCTAAAAAAGCACATTCATATTTTTAACACCCCATATTTAACTATCTACAGTGGAATACAGTATTTTTTTTGTATATGGATGTCAATGGCAAAGATCCCTTCCCGGAATATTCATGGGACTCATGGATACCCCAAACACTGGAGCAGCCATGAGGCAGACCTACCACTAGCAAAGATGGATTTACTACCAGCATTCTGCTGGCAACGGGACAAGAAACACACAAATGAGGTAAGCACACTCGCCAGGGGAGAGCAAACACACACTTAGTCCTCTCTACTTCTACAGTTCTAGCAAAACCGAGCTGGTCACAGAGATTTGGAATGCCTGCCAAGGGTAATGTGTATGTCAGAGTGACTGCACTGGTTCAGAACAAGAGTGAACCGCGAAGAGGAAATGAGAATCTGCTTCATCTTTATGCTCCTCTTCAGTCTGTGCTCGTGCCATTGCTACAATCCAGTCCTTGGATTAGCAGCTACTCCCACAAGGGTGAAGGTTTTCATTCCTAGTGTACATTTAAATTCAAACATTCAGAACATATCCTTTTCTAGACTGGAATATTATTCTAAGGAAAAGTGGAAGAACTAAGGAAAAAACTCACCTACTCATTACTTCTCCTAGCCATAATTCTCAATATAATATTGCTTAACTCTGTTAGAAATACCACACTACAAATGAAGGGTTTGGGGATTCCTTCAATTCAGTGATCTGGGCTCAGTCAAATGCCATGGCTCAAGAGAATTTATCTTTGTAACTACCCAAAACTGGTGAAGCATCTCTCCTTTACCACTGAAGGCTGGCTCATCAAACAAAGAAGTCTTCTGAACAACCTCTATGGTTTTATACCTCGCACAAGCAGCCAACTTACTGTTCAATTACATGTTGTGCTTTAATGACACATATTTTGTGGTTCCCTTTATAACAAAGGCAATTTCTGGATGTCAGGCACTGAATTACACCAGACTTTTTTTTTTTGGGGGGGGGGGGTGTGGGATTTACAGTTAGAAAGGACAGGTAGTGAGAGAAAAGCTGCATTCACTTGGAGTTCTAACAATTCAGGGCCATGACTTTTCCTTAGTTTCCTTAGCTCCTTAATACTCCTTTCCATTCCTCTGTTCACCACTATTCTGCTCTCTTTCATAAAAGAGTGAAAAACATCCTTGTTCTTCTATTAAAACTCAAGGAAGATAACCTACATACACCTTAATTGACACTAACCAAAGAGTAGCAATACTTTCATAAATTGGAAAAATTCAATTGACTTAGCATATACCTGACCTTACAACTCATATTTACCACAACCAATACCTTAGGGACCAGAATCAGATGTGAGCTGGCCTGCCCAGAGTGCGTCTGTCCTAAAGTAGCTGGTCCATGGAGCTTAAGGCTATGGCCTGGGATTCCCAACCAGCTACGCAGTGAGGGTCTTAGCTGGGGGGGGGGGGGGGGGCGGCAAAACAGTATTCCAACAAAGACGTCCACCCAGGAGATTTAGTTACTGAAAAAATCATCTAGTTACATACACATCTTTCCTGCATTGTAGCACAATGGGAGTTAATTTCAGAGAAGGTGGGAAAAACCAAAGTTGTGGCTCTCACTGACAAATTTTCAGTCTTCCCTAAACTCAAGTCATGTGAGTTGAGAAACAGCTAGAAATTATTCACTAATTTGGAAATATTTTTTTTTTTGTATAAATCTTTCCTTAATGTTTAAAGTGGCACCACTACATCAATCAAACACAGTGCAGTTCTCACACCCTTAGTTCCTATTGGTGGAGGGGTTATATTAAGGGCTGCAGTGATCAGCACAGGTGATAGCCATGTGGATGAGGGGAGGGTAGGCAAAGAGAGAGGGAGAAAATGAATATGATTGAATGAATCTATACCTTGATACTTTTAAACCAGTTAACAATGAACCAAACAATCACTGAGAGAAGAGTCTAACCAGTCTAGTGAAGACCAGCCTTTAGAACATAATAAAGGACTGGGGAGGGAGAAAGACAGAGAAGGGGGGAAAAGAAAGTCAGTAAACACGTGCTACCTCAAGAAGGTAGGAAAATACCATTCTTTCAAAGTGGGCAGAAAAAGAGGCAGGACTAAGACATAATGGCCTATGTAGATAAAGAAAAATGAGATGACAACTAAAGTTACTTTCCCATCTTTTTCTACCATCTCACATACATAAAAATAAATATTTTCTCTTTTGAGCATAGATTTAAAACAGCATCGGTTCAACATGATCTCCTAGCATAGTTAACAATCAAAGTGAAACCATGGTTTTTTAAGATAGGCGATTTTAAGTAATAAAAATGGTTAATGGCTTTTAAAAACCTGTTTTGAAGCTATGACCTTGGGGTGTTTGTGCCTCATATCTTCAACTATGTACAATATATTCCTTAGATTTCATGGTGTTACCTAGATTTTCATGGTAAAGTTTTCTTGCAGGCAATTTTTCTTTTGCCATTGGGTTTTCAAATGACCCCAAAATTCTGACTGTATAGAAAAAATGTCTCTTCTTATAAAAATCTGCATAAATTAATAAATGTGTTAGAAAACTCACTCATTCCAGGCTCAGTCAAGTAGCTGTAGCGCTTACGTAAAGCTAAAGACGCAAAGCTCTGTCGTTTATCTGCTTTCTCGGCCTGAAAAGGAAAAACAAAGACTGTGTCCAACATTTTTGTGACATTTCATAGTTTAGAAACATTTTGTAGGATGTTATGTTGCTATCTTGTTTATCCTTATTTTTTCTTCGTATGGAATTTCCTCATTAAAATGTGATTCTAAAAACCCACTCAATGTCTCAAACAAATAGCCATCATTTAGCAAATATATGAGCACCAACACAGCAGACTACAGGGAACTACAGATAAAAGACAAGAGTTACAGAGACTTCTGATGCTGAACAGTAAATTTTCCCCAATGAATTAGACCTTAAAACACATATATCACAATGTGAGTACATTCCAGGAAAAAAGGCACACAAAAGTTTCTTATTCTGATTACTGCTGTTGTTTCAGTGTGTTAACAGGCAGAAAGTATAGATGAGAAGATTAAAAACAGGTTAATGGTTTCATTAGGAATGTTACTGAGTCTTAAGGTTGCTGACTCTATAATTATGGAGGTGTGAGTTTTAAAAATCCAATTATCATCTAACTTGGAGAAATATTAGGAGATAACTTGAATAACTATATCCTTAAAAATGGCCCTTTAAGTAGAATATAAAGTATTTATCAATAGCCATTGAGCATATATTTTATATTATGTAAAACATAGGTTGATTCGTATAATAAAATTTCATATATTACCCATGATCTTGATTTAAAAGTTATAACACAGTTGATACTAGGTGAAAATGTAGATTTTGATACATGCCAATTACATTTAAAAATGTTTAAAGGACTTGAGTTCAGCTTTTTAAATTATTATTTGGATTATGATTTTACTGAATATACTCATGCATATGTGGATGAAGAATGAACTATTCTTTAAGAAAAATATATACCCTTTACTCACTTAAGCTAAAAAAAAAATACAATACGTTTCCCATACTTCGGCCTGCTGCAACTTCTTTTATACAGATTCAATTTCTATTCTATCTCTGATAGAGTAAAAGCAGAAGTGTTCATATTACCTCATCATCTTGATCTGACTCTGTCTCCTTTTCGTTCCAAGATGCATTGCAGAGACAAGGAATATTATAATGGACAGCAGAAAAGAATATCAGGATATGAAAAGGACTCAGTAGGAGCACAAAATGCAAGCTGATTTAGAAGGCAAAGCAAATCAAAAGAAGCCAACAAAATGTATCAAGAACAGTATATCCATGGCAAATTAATGTGTGATGCCCTTTAATCATAAAAATCTATGAACTACCAGCAGAAGCAGAAGCAATAAACAGAGGACTCCATCATACAAACCATAAGAATCTGACACCACAGTAACGAGACTTAGTCTACACAGAGACCAATAGAACTTGAGTTTCAAGAGCTTTAATCATGTTACATAGCATTCCTTAATTGCATACCAATGGCCCACTTCTTCAAGACCAGGGAAAGAAAGTGAAAATAAACCAATACCAAAAGATACCTTTTTATGTGCTGGCAGAGTGATGTTTAAGTTGCAGACAGCTGTTTGAGGCAGTCCTTTTGTTGTCTTTGGTTCTTTCAGAAAAGACAGACGACCACAGGGCTCTTGGCTGGTGTCTCTAATCTAGAAGAATTTAAGAATTTATGTAGCTGACAGTTGTAGAAATAGACTTTTCTAAGGAATCCTATCTTTATAAGAGTCAAGCATGTTTATTTTATGGAGACCTTCAAGAGGCAGGAAAATAAAGAGAAAAGATGATAACAATTGCATGGCCACTGAGGTGGTCACATTTAAACTCAGCAAGATTTAGGATGTCCCATCCCAAGTCTAAACAGAGGATTGTTGTGTCTGGGTTCCATGCATTTTCTTCCTGTCTCATAATTTCTTTTTCTCAAATCCTCAGCCTTAGCAACATGAATAACAGCAAATAATAATGACAGTAAAATCATCGTCCTATATCCTTCTGTTCTCTGAGGAAAATGCTTCTGCAAGAAGGTCAGAAATGAAGGTGAAGCTTGAGTTCTGACTTTCACTTTCATCCATTATTTGATTTCTGAGAAATAACTAGCTATGAGGCATTTTATTATACTAGAGTGTTTGATCTCACAAACATTTGCTTGACTATTTAGCTGTCGGAAAGGTAAGGACTTTTAAAACTAATTATAAAGCTTTCCTGTCTGGAAAGTACACTCAGGTAGAACCAAGACAAAATCTGACCTTGTTCCCATGACTTCAAGTTTGGTGGAATATTTCAAACAGAATAAATGATTAGGACATTTACAGAATCGCTGCTGATGAGGACTTACCTTGATGGAAAATGGCAGTCTATTTTCTTTGAAAGCATAAAAGTTAAAAACAAGTTGCTGTCCTCCTTTGGTCAGTGGAGCCAGATTTCCATAACAATCAACATAAATAGGTTTTCCTTCCAGAACCTTTTAGAGTAAAAGAAATACAGAATTTAATATTAACTTTAATTAAAAGAATTTTGAGATTTTAAGTCACATTAACATTAACTGAATGACATGTTTCTATGTCACATTTGTCTCCTTATTAGGGCATTACTTCTATAGTCCTATTTGCCACAAAATTAACTGTTTGGGCTCACAATTCAATAACTGTGTCTGGAAACTGTATTATGGACTCGTATAAGACAAAATCATATATTTCTATTCTAGCAACTTTAAACACGTTTGAGAAAGTATCTGACATCAATCACTTGTTCAGATAGACTTTGAAAACTTGTTCCAGTTTTTTTACTCTTATCTGATATCTGGGTTTGAAAAAGCAAAATCATGGTAATGTGTATAGACAGTGACCATAAAAATAAGATAATTCAAGTAGCTACAGGAAAATGGAAACCATGACTCAGATTCATTAGTGCTATTTTTTAACCAACTAAGATAACCTTGACAACATTTAAAATAATTTGAGAATGAATCTATATTGTATTTTTAAAACAAAAACTAAAATCAATATACTTAATATTTATAGTGAGCACTATTATGGTCTCAAAATAAAACTTCGTATCTGGAGGATATAATTGAATGAACTTGTTCTGAACAAGGTACCTCAATATCTTTGCTTCTTGCAACTTCCTCAAAATTCTCTTGCTGCTCTAAAGTTTTGTCCACTTTGTCATCTGTCATGCAGAAACACCGCAGGGAGGATTCTACAGGATCATTCATTTTGGCAAAAACAACAAACTTGGCCATATATGGAACACATATTAATTCTCTGTACAATTGCGTGGCTAACCCCACAGTTTCTAAAACTTGATGGCAGTCTGCAAGCCAAAATCTGATAAAAACAAAGCCAAACCAAAACAGAACAAAATGTAAGTATGGAAATGAAGTGACTTAAATGCCAAATCTTAAAAAAAATTCACCATTAAAAAATCAGTATAAAGGGAACTAAATTAAAACATTGACTTGTTCATCTAAACAAACAGCAGGATGTTTGCTGCTTATCAAACAGAGAAAATGCTAAGATTCTCATTCTCTTTCTTTCCCATAAAATTCTTGTTTCCCTCTAACACATACCCATACATGGTAAGACTTCCTTTCTACTCCTGTTTTAAGAGTTTTTAATCTATAACTTTACAATTGGAAGGAGCATGAATTTTATGAGAGAAAACTATCAGTATTTATAAATTAAAGTTGCTAAGAAATTTTACTAGAAGAATCCAGTCTAGTACCTTATAGCTTCCTACGAAAACTGGGCTAAATGACTTATCACAGTGAATTTTAAATTTCTAAGTTAGATCCAACTTAACTATCAAAACTGTAAAAAATAACCATACTGCATTGAGCACACAATTTTTACTTTCCAAAAGCTAATAAAACTAATTCCTTATTGCTTTTTGGAATCCTTTATTTCCATACCTGGCTGAAACATTGGTTGTAAAAGAGACACAATCCTTTATAAATGTCAAAGGAGTAGTTCCTGTGATGTCTTCCCACTGAGCCGGTGAGGTGCCCCCTAAGAGAACAGCAGCAGATATGGCAACTTTATTAACAGACATGCTCCTTCTAATATTTGCATCATTATCCTGTTCTTCACGGTTTGCCAGTAGCTTGCAAAACTTCAACACTTTCAATTAATGACATGTACTAACGGTTTTCTTCTCGACTCTCCTTTTATCCATTTGCAGGCTTATTGTGGCTTCCTTGTAAGATATTATTCAGTTTTTTAAAAATTACTTTTCTGTTCGGGTATTAATAAATGGCTTGAAATTGGGATAACCAATCTATAAGTGGATTTTACAAGTGTACTTTATAAGTGCCAAGATTTATTGTTTCAGATAGATAATCTATTATTTTTTTTTTAATGTTTAAAAAGGCAGTAACCATCAAGAAAGTTAAGAAGCAACTTATTTGTACTAGCTGAATCCTATAATTTACCAGGGACTAAGGGTGAATCAGCCATTAAAATTATTCTTAAAAACAAAACAAACAAAAAACCCCAGTCTATCTTAATCTTGGGATTTTCAGTTAAAAATCACATTAGGTTGATCAAATGAGGAATCAAGCTCTGGATTCCAGGTGCTTCTCATAAACATGTACTCCCGAAGTCCTTCAGTTTCCTGCAGTCTAAAGGGTGTTGCTAGGTCCACCACCTCTGTCTAGGTCACTGAGAGATCACCTAGATGCCCCAGCAGATGCAATAATATCTCAATCACCTTAAGAGGGCGCTATTGTTAATATGAAATTTAGTAGGAAAAATGTTAATTTTAAATGCTATCAACATCTTAATGAAATTATTGGAGGGATAATAGAAATGAGGTGATGGACAAGTAAAAATGTTTTATTCTTTTTTTTTTTCTCTTATAACGTTGGCATGGGCATTTCAAAGGCTTTGTTTTCTTACAGAATCACTGCAAATTCTAGCATCAACAGCAGGTACAGCAACAACATAACCAAACCTGTAATGCTACAGAGAAGGCGCAGATTGGGTGTGGCGTCCCCCTTGTACCCGTTGGATACGCCTTCTCCCGAGGGCGGGGGCACCGGAATGGTCATTGTGATCGGTTTATGGAATTTCCTTCTTCTTGGTTCCACAGTGACAATTGGGCTAAATGTTGCTTTGTTTCCAAGGATCTTTTTCACAATTTCATCTGGAACAGGCTGAGCCTAGAGTCAAAAAAAGAACCTTAAGTGAAAGTGGCCATTTTTTAAAAATCTCATTGGAAAGTTGACTTTTTAAGTGAAGAGGAAATAACCAAAAACACACAACCAATAAATGTCTTTTTCTTCATGCATTCGCATTATTTCAAGAAGGCGTAAAACAACAACAAACAAACAAAACGAACCCCAAATAACCCAACACTGTAGCAGGAACCCGTCAGCCCAAATGTTGCCCCAACATAACAGACAGCGTGGGCTTGTGTGATAGAGAGGGAATCCAGTCTCACAGCAGAGAAGCATCCTAGTCTAACCTAAACTAACAGACAACAAATACCGTGTCCAATATATTTAAAACCTATGTGGGACATTCAGTAAAACATGACAAAGGCAACTTGCATCCATGTAAAAATTGAGGTTTTTCAGAGTGGTAACAAAAAGGAAAAAAAAATCATGATTGCAAAGGATTTCAGATCTATTCTTCCAAACTGAAATTCTTCCTTTTGGTCTCTTTGCTACTGAATATTTATATGGGAGAGAGCTGAAGGGCACCTCATGCCAGTGGAATGTAAGGTGGTCTCTTTAGCTAGGTGTTTACTGAAGGCCTTCCCAGGACTTAGAGTGCTCAGCTCTAAAAACCCAACTCCTTGGGCATGAGAGGCAACTGTCAGTTAAATATTTTAAATACTCTATTAATTAACAACACATATTAAGTTATTTCAGGCTATTTTCCTTAGTAAGAAAAAAAAAAATACCGGTTAAGTACTGGTTTGGCCTAACTGAAATGTATAAATACGTGAAAGACCTCCGTTGCCAAGATTTCCAGTCAATTTTCCAAACCCAAACAAGTTCCAACTGGTTTGGATAAAGCCCTGCATTTACGATTTTACTTAAACCAAAATTTGAAAGCTTGCAAGTTTCACTACTGCTGGTTTTTATGATGTGGCGTGTCATAAACCAAGTCAAATATGGGTTGTTTCTTTAATGGTCCATGTACCCTTTGGTGCTTCTGTTGCTCCACATACTGAGACCAATAACCTATGGTTAAAAAAAAGCGATCTCTCATAAGAAACCAGGTGATACTTTTATATGGAAAAACCCTAAAATATGTAACTTATTTCATAAGCCACTAAGCTAATTTTTAATTAATGCTTTTCATTTGAAATGGGTTAATGATTCTCCTAAATAGCCTCATGCTTTCATCAGCAATTTGAGAGGGGATCCACTGAGAGTTATGACAGTTGTTCCCAGAGTGGCACATGCTCCCCACCCTCTATACCAGTGGTTCTCAACCTTCTGGCCCTTTAAATACAGTTCCTCATGTTGTGACCCAACCAAAAAATTATTTTCGTTGCTATTTCATAACTGTAATGTTGCTACTGTTATGAAGCGTAATGTAAATATCTGATCTGCAGGATGGTCTTAAGCGACCCCTGTGAAAGGGTCATTCAACCGCCAAAGGGGTCGCGACCCACAGGTTGAGAACCGCTGCTCTGTATGCTCCCAGGAGGAGAACCTTGTGTGAACATTACCTGGAGGCCCACTCGGATTCTTTTGGTCAAAGCGCCCTCAGGGAAAGAAGCCTGGACCAGGGGCACAGTGGTGCTGCTCAGAATTCCACCTTCAGGACCAATCTGGTTGCTTTCCTGCTTAATCCGTGAAACTACTGCAAAATACTGGGGAAAATCCTTCGTGATAATCCTGCAGATTCGCTTTTTCCCTAACTCTTCTGGACTATCAAGTTCTGAAAAGACAAATGAATGAAGAAAGCCATGAGAATAAGCCTGCTTCCACAATACCTTGAGGCAAACGGATGTGCAATTTTGATAGTTAAAATTACTTATATTCAGTAATCTAAATAGAGGGGTTTTTTAATGATAAAGAGAAAACTACAGTTATCCTGAAATTTTAACAAGCTTTGCAAAACTATTATAAAAATATTCACACATAGTACTTGAAAAAAAGAACAAAATCTTCAAAAATGGGCATTTTACCATATATGGACAAACTTCTACTCTTCAAAAAGGGACAGTTGATTCTGTGATTATTTATACATAATCTTCCCCTCAAGTTGCCAAAAATAAGAATGAGTCAGAAAAAGTAAGGCCCCATAAGAAAGTGAATAAGGACGTAAGTATGTCTGAAAGGCTCTAGAATTTTGTTTGAAAACCTCTTGAAAATATTTTTAAATTACCCAAATGATTAGTAACATCAGCACCAATGGTCCTCCCACATCAAACTCAACCAGCCACACATGAACACATCTTTTTCCTTTCTGTCCACCTCCAACCCTCCTTCTTCCCCTATAGTCCTAACTCCCAGAAAGGGTTTACTGTTTGTTCAGTCCTCTAGTTTAATAGCTTTGACTCACTTTCCTCTGTACTTTACATCTAAAGGTCAAAGTCCAGTTGGTTCTTCATGTTTCAGAAATGGCTTCCTATCCTGTCACCCCCATGTTCAGGCTTTTGCCTAATCACTGAGACCACCTCCTAGCCACCTTCCTGCCACTTGTATCTCCTTACTCCAGTCCATTCCACCCAGCCACAGGCATGTTCTTTCAAAAGTCAGTACATGAGGTGGACATATATGTTGTAATATGTACTTCTCTCTCCAAGGCGTATTACAGTCACAAAAAGTATAAAAATTGACTCATCACATCTTTACATGTCAATGTATACATTCATATAATTTATGTAAAAATTAGGGAAGGGGAAAAAGGAATATTATATTATAATGAATGTAGAGACATGCAATATTACTTGGGTAATAATTCTAACATGCTAGTATTACTATAACAATATAATATATACAAACAACAGACTATTAATGTTTTAAAGTAAATTCAACGCAAGTACATTTTTTTCTCTATTTCTTGCTTTAAAAAAGGAAAGTGAAACACAATAGTGAAATGACCTTAGCTGAAAGTTTAAAATCAGGTAACTAAAGACCCAGGTGGCTAACAGTTGCCAAGAGGGAATGAAAAGGCTCTGACACTCAGTTAAATTACATTAAATTAGATGATGTTTGATATTGAGGCCTGGCACATAGTAAGGTTCAATTCATATCCACTGAACAGAGAAAGCAATTGGGAATTAATGAGACTCACACTTTTCATACCAAACGTCTGCAATAATTCTTTAAAATGTTGCTCTAAAATAGATGTAGTAGTGGAGACTGGTTGTTATTTTAATAGTTTTTTAAAATTAAAATATCATTATGTGAAAAAGTGGCTCTAGTCTTCCTGTTTTTTAAAAACACAATAAAATCTATGTCCATGTGTTTATAACTCAGAAATTAGTTTACTTACTGGATGTTTACCCGAATGGAATTAAAAACTCACGAGAATATAAAACTTCTAAAAATTCTGTGCTATAATATAAAAAGGTATACTGTCCCCCTTTATCTGTGGGGGATATGATTCATGACCCTTTTCCTATTCATACATACCTATGATAAAGTTTAATTTATAAATCAGACATAATTAGAGATTAACAATAATAACTAATAATAAAGTAGAACAATTAACAACATACTGTAATAAAACTTATGTGAATGTGGTCTCTCTCTGGTAACCAATCTGATAACCAAGACGGCTACTAAGCGACTAATGGGTGGACAGCTTGGATGCCCTGGACAAAGGGATGATTCACGATCATGGTGGGACAGGGTGAGATTTCATCACACTACACAGAATGGCGTGCAATTTAAAACTTAGGAACTATGCCGAAACCGGTTTGGCTCAGTGGATAGAGCGTCGGCCTGCGGACTGAAAGGTCCCAGGTTCGATTCCGGTCAAGGGCATGTACCTCGGTTGCGGGCACATCCCCAGTAGGAGATGTGCAGGAGGCGGCTGATCGATGTTTCTCTCCCATCGATGTTTCTAACTCTCTATCTCTCTCTCCCTTCCTCTCTGTAAAAAATCAATAAACTATATTAAAAAAACAAACAAAAAAAACCAAAAAAAACTTAGGAACTGTTTATATCTGGAATTTCCCATTTAATATTTTAGGATTGCAGTTGACTGCAGGTAGCTGACACTGCAAAGCGAAACCATGGATAAGGGGGGACTCTTAACAGAAAAGTTAGATTTCTAGGCAAATAATCATAAAGTCTGATCATGTGAAAATGGAACGTCAAAGTTCTTTCCATTCAGATTTTTAAATGCTCTATTATTTAGGCCAGAAGAAGGAATTACCAAGAATCTTTGCTTTGCTCCCACCCTTTACATGCAGATATACACCCTACACAATTATCTGCAGCACAGATGCGATGCCTGAATCACATTCATACCCACAGAGAAGCCAGCTCCGCATGCAGTGTACCCCCAATGTCCAGGTCCTAAGCAGCACCCGGGGTACATATTAAAAGCACAGATTCCTATGTTTCTCTTGTGGAGATTCTGGCTTGGTCGGCCAGGGGTGGGACCCAAAAATCTGCTTTTAACATTCAATCCCGGTGACTATGACTTGACTGACACATTAGGGAAGCAAGGTCTTGTAGACTCTCACCCTGCACGTCTCTTTGCAAATTCAGAACTCAAAGATTAAAAACATGACAACAAGATCCTATAAAAAACTCAAGGATGGTTCAATACGAGAAGAGCTTATAGGACAATAATAAATACCCATTACTTTTAAATGTTATTTTTAAAACATATAATAAACCACCCCAAAGCGATACAATTAAAGGATAAAGGGGTATAAATATCCAGAGCTTCTACCTTTTAGGTTGATTCATAAAGCCATAGAATATGAAAGGATCCTCCTTCCTCTTTTTCATCTGTTACTAGTAAAGTTTTCACCCCCCCCCACTTCTCCCCCCCCCTCCCCAAGAAAAGATTAAAGGGAAAAGACAGAGGTGAGTTCTGAAGTAGGTAGTTCTGGCTAGGAGGAAGGCTAATATAGCATATGGTAGAGTAGGTGTCTGACTTGCAAAAGGTTTAGTGACTTGCCCAAGTTGACTTTGCTGGTCTGCTTTAGGGCTGAAATTAGAAACTAGGTCTAGAAACAGGGTTGGGGAGAAGGCATGAAGTCATATAGACATGTTGATAAATGGATGGATGAATAAGGGGTAGATATGCAAACACCCTGGTCCAAAAGGTGACATGCTTTGTTATTGGCCCACTCTCTGAGCAGAAAGACTTTACTTATTACCGTGGCACTTTTTGCCACAAAACACACAGAAGCCAATGTTCTACAGCTTTCTTGCCTCACGGATTAATGATAAATTTCTTAAACACCTTGTAACTCATTTAGTTCCCGTATCTGTAAAAGGCGGGACAGTGTTCTCTGCCACTGAGGTTTTAGAACAGAGCAGTAAGGATTATAAGATGCTTTTCACATATGAACAGTTATGGAGATCATAATACACTGAAGCATAAACGACAGAATTGAATTCATGTTCCCACTAAATGAGTCAGTCCTAAAGCTTTTGCATTATCCTCGGGTCAATTCTGCCTTACTCTTACATACACATTATGCATGACATTATTACAGACACTAAATGTCTCGATAATTTCTGGTCAGGCGTAAGCTCTACTCAGTCTGCTCCTCTAAGAATGAAACATCTGCTATGGATGGGCAGGGAGAAGATGAAGCTTAGAAGGTTAGAATTAGAAAGGGCAAGCTAACTAGTTTTGCATGTCTACAGTGTATACATCGGAATTGCTATCATTTTCATTTCATTCCATTTTTAAAAAATATTTTCAATTACAGAAAACGAAATATCAGAGAAATTGAGGGAAATGAAGGAAATAAAAGATGAATCTATAATAGTCAACTCAAGCTACAGAATATATGGAACTTGTAATAAATTCAATGAAATATTTCAGAAAATTACAGACATTTCTTTGGAATTAAAATTCAGCCCCATCTGAATAATGTAACTTTTGTACCAAGCCCACCCAAGATGTTACAGGGGAAAAAAACAATAACTCAAGATGTAATTTGATCCTTCTTCCTCAAAGTAAAGATGACAGGAATCTTTTCAATTTTTTTTCAACTTTTAAAATAGAGATTCATGGAAAGTTGCAAGGACAGTACAGAGAGGTCTCATACAGCGCTTTCAGTAGTTTAACTCAGATTCTTACTCAATTCTGGTATCTGCTTCATGTCTGTCTGGATCAACATTACTATGTATCTTTACCCAAGGTGGGACCTTCTTTGTTATTCATATGTTCACATGTATGAAGTGCTAATGACGCAGAATGTGTGGGAAAATCATATGCTTGTTTGTTTTTCTCTCCAGTTTTAACAATCCATATAATTTCTGACAATCATATACCTTAAAATTAGAAAACTAATTGTGCCATTTCCCCTGCCTCCTAGACCTCCTTTCCCCATTTGGTTGTGCATTCCTTCCTTTCAGTAGTTGCTTTTTCTCTTGGGTCTGGGTCTCAGAATGAATATCACCAAAAGCGGGTGCATACGCCTGGAGACAAATCATTTCTCCACTCATTCAACAAATTATGATGAAGTGACAACACTGTGCCAAGAGCTGTTATCTGCACTGAGCATAAAGGCTGTCCACACGTCAGAGCCAGTCCTGCCCTCATGGACTTTACCATCCACCAAAGAAGATAGCAAAGTTCAAAACTCCTTGTTACAGAAGAAGACAGGCCAGGTGCTGTGTATTACCAGGTGGATCTAACTCAGTCTGGGGTTTGGGGGAGACTTTCTGGAAGAGGAGACACGAGGGACAAGTCCATATTACGTTATGGTTTAGTTAACAGCTTTTGGTATGCCT